TGCGCAGCGTCTCAAGTTTGGATAATGACTAAATGCGCCTTTGTGTTATGGCTGATTTCGGCTATGCACTGATGTCACATAATCTGGACGGTAATTGGTTACGGTGTCTGGGCAAGGGACGATTTAAGGCTGGCGTAGAACGCTGGCAAAGGGAGCGGGTTAGGATTACATGCATGCTTATATTAAGGTACGCTTTAGTTTAAGCCTTAGGTTTAGTCTTATAGCTGAAATAGACTCTTTGCGCAGTGAGTAAAACGGATGCGAGAGACTAATTAAAATACAATGAATCAAGCTCGCATCAATCGCACACACCTCCCTGCCAGCGATCGATGCGATCGTGAATTAATGTCCTTGAATCCTTAACCTCTCGCATGTAATTTCCTGACTGCGGGTATAGTCTGTTTCAGCCTTATTAGGCTAAGTGTTAGGCCTTAGTTTAAGTCTAAGTATAGTTTAAGGACTAGTTTAAGGCCTAGCCGTGGGTATATTTACCATATACCCATGGTGTAAGTGTAACCGTAACCAAGTACCGCCCCTTTCTGAGGCACAGCGAGCTGTAACGCCTGATTAAAGTCACCAACGAGGAGACCTCCATTATGGTTCCAGGGTAGCCGCGAAACCTTCCGAGCAAGAGTCAATAAGCACAAATCCTCTAATGAAAACATATGAGATCTTTTTACTCTCAAGTTTGTTTATTGACCGCATATTTAGTTCTAGATCGGATACTGCAGTGTTATAAGGCAGGCTCAATTTCGAATTAACATTTGTAATGTTTTTGTGGTCATGAGCCTGCTCAGAGTGGGCAGATAGTCGCTCGATTGCTTTCTTCAGTCGAGAACAGCGTGGGTTCCTGAGAAACCTGCATTTTGAGACTGAATATCCATTTTCCTGTCGTCTAGGGCTGGTTATCTTCCCATGCAAGCCAGGATTCCAGTAAGGCAGATTCGGACACAGTTCCCAACACCAGAGCTGCTCACCGTCGTCGCCGGGACTGCCTCACGGGTCGAGCTGCTGGGGGACTGGCCACCCTTCAGCTGGCTTCCTGTAGGGCCGCACACGGACGGCTGGCGGTGGCTGCTCTGGTGTTTGGTTCACGTTTGGTTTTGCTCCTCTCTTGATTTTTTTTTTAATTACACGCATGGACAAATTGTGGGTTCCACCTAATTTTATCTCTATCCACAGGTTATTAGTATTGTCACAGCTATCAACTTCTAACATTTGATGTGGCCGGCGTTGACGCAGGATCGCGGTCAGGAATCACGATATCGAGTCGACCCTCTGTCCATCTTCCGTGCTCCACTCGCTCGCGGCCGGCCGGCTGGTCAAGGTCAGCTGACGGACCTGGCCCCTGGGGTGTAGGCTGTGCCGCTGTTCCGGGAGGCGGCGGGCGAGGCAGCGGCATGAGCGCGAGCGGCGGCACGCCGGATCAGGGGCCAGGTGGGAAACTCGACCGTCCACACAAGGGATCCAGTCGATCATATTCGGCATGCATGGATGAGCACGGACTTGTAAGGACTTGTTCATACAGCTCACCATTCAGTGTCGGATAGTTCATAAGTCCATTGCAGTGTAGACTTGCTTATTGCAATTCTCATAGTAAAGTGATCGAGGGTGAGCAGTTGATTAATAGCAAGTGCAGTTCAGTAGCCATAAATAACTTGTTGGCGACTGACTTGTTGGTGAATGATCAAATAGTCGAAGTCAATGGTGACTTGTTGAACCGTGACTAGTTGGTCTGATAATTCAGTGATTAGAGGCGACTGGATGTTTTTTTTTTTAGATAGTTCAACAGGCAGTGCAGTGACTGGTTTAGCCGGATAGTGCACTTAGCTCAGAAGTCAGAGATACCGACTACTGTTGGCACTAAAACCCTCGAAGTCCTAATTTTTCGTGATTATTTTTAATGCACGGAAAAAAATCCAGCAAATTTAGGAATTATAGTCACCTTTTCGCCGTTCATTTTTTTGCAGGTGTATGGGTGTCTCTCGGTCAGTCTTTTCCTGGTCTGACTGTATTGAAGCGATCTAATAGGTGTAACTGAGTACGGTAAACGCTTCTTCGTAATCAGATGGAACACGACATCGAAACATTCAAAACCACATCAATGCCGAATGCGCATACTCGTTCACACAAACACAGATACATCACTACATTTATGCTCCTTCTATTTATGTACAAATAAGCGACTGTTTAGACCCCCGTGAAGAATCTGTTTAAACCCCCGTGTCAAGTTGTTGCATGTTTTGTATAACTATGCAATGGCGATGTCATCTTGTTTCCTGGTTCAGATGAAATATTGTTATGGTGCGTGATTCTCAGTTTTTTTTTGTGGGTGTGTGTGACCGTGCTTGTTGCCCATGTTTTATGCGAGGTGTTCCGGCGGTATTTGTTTTACGCCTCTTTCATGTTTTTATGACATCGCGCTCGCTTGGAGCTGGGTTCGATTATTAGTTTCTGGCTGGTGTTACAAACCATTGCTGAAGCTATTCTCATCTGTGTCCTCGACTTGTTTTAGGTAAGTGTATGCTCTTCGGTAAGCATGAAACATGGTAAGCTACCTTTATCCTTATTACGCAACATGGTTCCCACAACTAAACTGACCCATAAACCTTACACAAGTGGAAATAATTGGGAAACAAATTACTTCAAACACATGGGAGCAAAATAAGTATGCATTTGACAAAATTATTAGTCGTGTGCATCGCTGGTGTTTTCTATTTTTCTTTTGTATGTATGCCGACGGTTTTTTCGACGCGGTTGTTTGGATGATTTTGCGTTTGTAACGCTGGCGATCTTGATGGCGTTCGTGCAAATACGATTTTAATTTTTACATCCGTTTTGGCATTTTCAGTTTTATTGCGAACAATTCTTGACCGCGTTAAACGTCAAGAGTGCACGACGTTTCGGAGGATTTTATTTTTCTTGAGTTATCGCGCTGATTTTTATGGTGCTAATTGAAGCGTGCCAAGATCATAGTGCAAGATTAAAACAGCATTCTTTTTTAGGTGAGTTGGTGAGTAGCTTACTACCCCTGTTCGAAGTGTCTCTAGCAGACTTAGTTCCTGTTGGCTACTGTATATGTTTTCTGATGTAGCAATCTTCACTTTACTTATCTGAACGTCCTTGTTGCGTGTTATAGTGCCAAATTTAAGGCTGGTTGTTAGGCAATTAAATTTTCACAATAAGCAATATGGAGTTTTCAACGAATGTTTCTTTTCCTATTAGGTGGGCTTAATGATTATATTACCTCTACATAAGCTCTACTGATGCATGATCTACTGATAATTCAGTTTCTTGAAAAATATTGCCGGTATTCCAAATAGTCGAGTTCTGATGAATCCAGCAGAACTATTTCTTTGTTATGAAGCTGTTCTGTGCTGCTTTTATTATTTGTGTTTTATTTGAATTTTTTTTAGATGTGTTTTGCTTGTTGAAATGCATTAAATCATCACTAACAGCACATTCGGAAAGTGTCATAGCACGTAAAATGAGCTACTTATTTTTTCAGCATGTTTAACGCTTTTTATATGACAGACCACTCATACGAGTAAAGAGCATGACTTTTTAACACCTGTCCGCTGTGCTTTATTGAGTTGGTGCCTACTTATTTGTGTAGGTACGGGGTTATTACGCCCTGTTAGGTAGACTGGTACGAAGACTGTTTGGTATATGATAGGTAGACTGGTAGGTGGGTATTTGATAGGTAAGCTAAGAGGCAAGATGATAGAGTTGCTGGTAGGTAAGCTGGTACGTAGGTATAGGTAATAGGTAGGTGATAGGTAGTCTGTAAAGTAAGCTAATAACTAGGTATAGTAAGTGATAGGTTGCTATGTAGGCTGATTAAAGGATGGTAGGCATAGGCAGTATAGGCTGCTAGATAGGTGGAAAGTCACTGTAATTAAGTTGTAGACATGCAGATAGGTAGGCAGGCACTTGGCCTATCAGCAAGACATGTAATAATTAAGAAGGTGGGCCATGATACTGATAGGAGTATCATGGGTTTTGGACAGTCTTCAGACTCCGGAGAGACTCTTCAACAACCTCTAATTCAAATCACGAAGTGTATCCTATGTCAGGATTGTTTTTAATATATCTACAATTACATAACGCTCTCCGGCAACTGACGACTGTCCAGGGCGATGTCCGCCGTATCCCTCCGGCTCCACGTGCCGGACATCGGGCAACAGGGTGACGTCAGGCTGACCTCTTCTGACCTTAACGGTGCCAACACCGACACCTGTCGTGAGGTGCTAACTGTGAATTGTACCTCATGACAGTAAAATGTAATATGGACTGTAATATGGACTACGGTATTTCTTGCTTATTGGTCGTTTTCTATTTGGTAGTGGTATCATACTGTTCCTTTTGTGAAGTGTCGCTTGGCAAATGTCATTTGAATCAAACGACTCCACTTAAGTTATGAACAGTTAGCTGATGCGTTGTAAAGCAGCATGATGTCACCCTGGCTAAGAGAGGGATGCTAAATAAAACTGCTTGTGAGTGCTTGCTGGGTATTATTATGCCTTGTGTGTTTGGCACAAAGTGATGGACATCACTGCTCTTCTTGCACTGATACAATACAATTTTTTTCAGACACCATATTTTCTTATGAACGCACCAATCACTCTCCAACATAGCATCCAGCTAAAGAATAACAATGCGCCTTGCAACATTCGATATCCACAACATCAAAGCATGAGGAGACAGCTGTGACTCTTTATCATTCGGCTCCTGAACAATCTTTAATCATGATATACTTGATCTTTTGATCCCTAGGCATTGCAGCAGTCTGGCTGTGAAAGTTAACCCAGGTAACACCAGCCCCGTCCCGCTACGTCCGACCCTTCTGTTTGATCCGCCTTCTGTCACTGTCGCTGGGGGAGCGTCATGTGTGACAGGGGTGAAGCTCTCCGGTAATGTCACTCGACGGCGCGGAGCTGACCTTTGACTGCGTCATGGCCGCCGTGACGTGACGGTCCGCTCGGTGTGACGGTCACTGAGGTCACAGTCGGGAGCGGTCAGCATGGCGAACCCCCAGCTGATGGTGCTGCTGCTCGTCTGCACCCTGCTGGCGACATCAGCCGGCCAGGGGCGGAATGACGCTTCAAGGAGGAGGTAAGTCGGCTACAGTTTGAATCTGGAGAGGCTGGGTCGCTGGATAAACGTCTTGCGAATCTCCCAGATCAGGCAGCATTACGGGCTCGCTAGATTTCTAACGTGCTTATTCGTTTCCCAATAATTAATTCCTCTGAATACATATTTTGGTATACACTTGAAAGTATGAACTAAAAAAGTGGCTAAAGACATATGTTTTGCACCACATGTTGATTGAATAAATAAAAAGTTATTAGATATAATTATTTCATATTTAAGATGTAACCCACGTTTCAACGCTATGTATTGATCTCAGGCAGCTTTTGCAAAATTATCAGAGAACTCAAATTTGTTTTTCAATCGAAAAACACAATTTTAACGAATAGTGTTCTACCGATTGACTAAAAACCTTTGGTTGTTTCATATCGGCCTTTTTATCATTAATTAAGCCTTAATCTTTTTACAACGCATCCTGTTCGGACAAAATAAAACCGAAGCAACACTCTGCCGAGTTCGATTGACGCATTGATGAAATTTTCTCCCTCAAACTCGCCATAAATTTCAGATTTAGCGATACGAATACCGTATCTTTTCATTCTGTGTGATAGGCTGTACCACAACGATCGGCTGTAGTTCTTGATAAAACCATTGATGATAAATGTTTTTATTTCAGAGGAGATGCCAGTCCCACAGATGGATCACCTCGCCCCACTCCACAACCCAGTAAGTACATAAAACTCTCTAATATTTGATATGTATTGCCAGTAATGCGTATGTACGAATGCGGTCAATAAGAAAGATACGTAGATGCTTGATACTTCGTACTCAATGCCTCCACTAACATACACCAGAAACTTCATCTATTTCCATTATCGATAACCCACTCAATGGACATTTTGGTAGCAGGGGCGCACCCAGTCAAATAGTTTGGCGGCAGTAATATCGTATTCTTGACAGAGCGGATTTGGCAATGGCCTGTGCTCCACCAATGGAGAAATATTGGTTCGCTGCCAGGCCGTCGGATTTCCGCATATCTACTGAACGGTGAGCCCAATCCAAATCGAGGTATGCCGAGATCAGTGCTCGAAATTATTGTCCTCCATATATACTCATAAAGGAGACAGATATAGAATTATCGGAAGAGAGCGTCACTGGTCAGGCTCAATAAGGAATTATTGCTCTTTGATTCGGATTGCATGACGTCAAATGTAAAGATTAATGGAGACCGTATTTTTTACCTTATTTCTAATAATTACAAATGCCAGCACCCATAAGGAAGAAAAGAGACGTGACTATATTGCTGAGAAATAGTACCTTCTGTCGATTTTCTACCGTTTGCTTCCCTTTCTCACGAGATTGCAGGCTGCAGCGCAGTGTACGATTGCACGGTTGCAATAATGGAATGGTTGCATGACATTGGTGTATAAGCTCATGTTTCGTGCTCGTCTTACGTGCTTTTTCGCCTGTTGCGTGCTTCATTATCATTATTAGATGCCATAGTAACACATGCATGAAAGGGGTCACGTTTTGGAACTTTTCTAAAGTTCCCGTAACAGTTCCGTTTTTCTACAAAAAAAAAAACATTTTAGTTTGTGCCAACTGGTGAATGCTTTAAAGAAGAGCTTAAATAAGCTAGGCGTAAAAATTATTTGTTTTATACAAAGCCATCGAATATTATTTTCCAACATGCTCTGCAGATGTAACGCCAGGTATAGCTCAGCATTTCAATAAATTTCTCCACATGTTTGGAATGGCTTAGAACGTCATCCTAATGGTATTTGATGCGCAGTTAAAGGAAAAGGGCCACCTTCGTGAAATATGAAGATATCGTTGTTTTTCATTTTGACATTATTATTTTTCATTTTCTTTTTAAAACTGGTGCCAGAAGTGCACAATTCGCGAAAAAGTATTTAAAACTATTTAACATATTGGTACTATGTTGATACTCTCTACGGCACCTACTGTATGATGGCATAGCGATGACGTCACACTCAAGCCAATCAGCGTTCAGAAGACAGACTCGTCGGATTGTGTCAGATAAGCTGATTGGTTAAAGCTGAGCTGGTTGGAGCTGATTGGTAAAAAACCAAAGCCTCGCCGCGGGTGGCTGTATTGTCGGATAAGAACGCATTCCTGGGATAAGGACGCATTCCTGGCGTATTTTCTTTTAAAATTGCCGATAACTACGAATGGAGGCCGAAATCGGCCGTAAGGAGGTAGACAGACAGGTTTTCGGACACGGGCTACAAGATGGCTATCTCAGTTTCAATCCCCATGTTAAAGGTGGCCCTTTTCCTTTAATATACATTAACATTTGACAAGCTAAATCGCTGAATTTTGATGGCTTGTTAAACATTAAATAAAAATGAATAAAATACATGGAATGGTGCACTCCAATTTCAGCAAGAAATCGCACACATTTTATCCCGCGCCCCAGTGGCGGTCTCGGCCAACTTCGCCCTAGTGGGGGGGGGGGGGGCATATGTTACCACCCACCTCTAACTCAAAAACTAAGAGGGCTAGAAAGACGCGGTAAAAAGCAGTCGATAGCCCTCAATGCGTACGTTCGAAAGTATTTCGGTCATTTTTAACCTTAGAGCAATATTGGGGTCACCAGAGGTCATCAAAGGTCAAAGTTTGCCAATTGTCATTATATTTTTCAAAAAACATGCTGCTATCTCATGAACTATGGTAGCTAGAAAAACGCATGGAAAAGCAATCGATAGCTTTTGAACTCTTCTTTTGAAAAGGTCATTATCAATATTGACCTCAGGTCAACGGTTTAGCCTCCAGAGGGAAAAAACTCCAAAAATAGCTGTTTTTACGAAAAGTGTTTTTCGACAATAACTTTCGACTACAAAAAGCCACGAAACTTCTATTGCCAGAATCGTGCTCCCCTCGCCGAGACGCGTCGAATGAACTATAATTTGACCTTGAAAGGTCAACTTGAAAATTTGACCTCAGGTCAAGGTCATGACCTTACCGGAAAAGGTCATGTTGCATATCAGTCGATGCGTCTCAACAAGACAAACACAATGAGACCATCCCCAGCGTTCTATCTCTGTCCAATCTCGAGTTGTTGGCAAAAAACTGTTTGTAGCCTCAAGTGACCTCGGATGACCTGTCTAGAGGCTATCAGCAAAAATGACACCTTGGTCATCACGAGTGGACTAAATCATTGTGATTCTGAAATATTTGGACTGTTCCGATGCGTACACACGGATCTAGAGGCATTTTCATTTTTCTCCATTGACTTGTAATGGAAAGGTCACGCCACTGACCTGACCTTAGGTCACGGATATAAAAAATCCGAGATATACAAATTGTAGGCGCCTATAACAGCATGCAATCCACCAAGTTTGAAACCTTTCTGACAAACACTGCAGGCTGGACATGATTGCAAACTTTTTTTTAGGCTTGGTCAGTTAACTTGACCTGGTGACCTGACCTGACATGACCTGGGGTCAAAAATTTCACACATTATTCAAAATTGATGTACCAAAAGCTACCCCAAGCGGCGCGGCGCTACGCGCTGCGGTTTTTTATTTACACGCAAAAAACGCGACAGGGTTGTAATATATGCCCCCCCCCACTGGGGCGAAGGTTAAAGAGACGTTTTAAATTTTGTGGCATTCACTTTCTTCTCTTATCCTATATCTACCTGTATCTTATGTTGAACTACAAGCCGCTGGCGAGTCCATCAAGCCGACGATATAGTCTTTGAACTAACTGGCTGTTGGCTGCACACGCTGTTTTCCTCTCCCGTTTCAGGTGCCGACGATGCCTTGTCTAGGTTCACTCGGCTGCTGACCAAGCCCATCGGCCTGCAGAAGAACAGCTCCTTCGGCGGCAGTGCCAGATCGCTGCTCGACGACGCGTGGAACAAACCGCTGCGTCGCCCCGAGAAACCCCCTGGAAACTCTACAGCCGGAGACCAGCAGCCGTCTGAGCCTGCCGACGGTGGAGAGCAGCAAAAGCCCTCCTCTCCACCCCCTACCGAGGAACAGCGGCCTCCCACCTCCGCCCCTCAGCAGCCGACACGAGGGTACAGGCCGCCAGCCTCCTCGCGACCGCCGTACGGCCGAGATCAATATCCAGGGCAGCGGCAGTATCCAACACGCGAGTCCCCACGGCAGTACCCAGGACAAAACCGGGATTCAGAGCGAAATCGGTACCCAGGACAAAGTCGGTACCCAGGACAAAACCAGAATCCAAGACAAAATCGGTACCCAGGACAAAATCGGTACCCAGGACAAAATCGGTACCCGGGACAAAGTCGGTACCCAGGACAAAACCAGAATCCAGGTCAAAATCGGTACCCGCCAGGCCAAAACCAGTACCCAGGCCAAAACCAGTATCCAGGACCGAATCGATATCCGGGACAAAACAGATATCCAGGTCAAAATCAGGGTCAAGAACAAAACCAGCGTCCAGAGCAGGATCAGTATCTTGGCAGTCAGTATCCCCCACGCCGAAATCCAACACCACAGTATCCAGTCGGTCGGTATCCAGAACAACAGCGAACTACAACAGAGCAGCCGTACCAACCACGCCAGTATCCAAATAATCAAAATGTGCGGCGTCAGACTCGAACGCAGGGCTATCACCGATACCGTCGGCCTGCGCAACGGCAAGACGAAGAGCAGCGTCGGAATTTCGTGACAACGAGAAGACCTAGACGATCCCAATCTCGGACCACGACCAGAAGGCCGGCTCGTTTTCCGACGATAAAGCCAACTGTAGCTGGATTCAGACTGCGCACAAAGAGACCACAGTTCCTATCAATAACACGGCGCACGCCAAACTATCAGTTTCCTACAAGAAGACCACAGTTTCCAACTATTCCTCCAGGTCCGCCTAAGCCAAATATTCCAACAGAGCAGCCTCCAGAGCCGACAACTCCCGCCGAAAAGTCTCCAGAGCCTCAGCCGCCACAGCCCCAACCTCCAACAGACCAGCAACCGCAGCCTACGAGTAGGTATCCAAGAGAACAGCGACCACAGGAGAGGTATCCAAGAGAGCCGCGACCACAACTCCAGCCCCCAACAGAGCAGCCTCGGTATCCATACCAGCAGCAGCCTCAGTCCCAGTATCCAACTGACCAGCAGCCTTCATATCCAACTGAACAACAGCCTCCGTATCCAACAGAGCAGCAGCCTTGGTATTTAAATCCTACAACAAAACGACCTCAACTTCAGTATCCATACCAGCGACAACCGCAACACCGATATCCAGCAGAACCACAGCCTCAGTATCCAACGACGCAACCGCCTCGATATCAATACCAGCAACCAGAATATCCATACCCAACAAACCAGCAGCCGCAGACACGGTATCCAACAACGCAACAGCCTCAGTATCCACCAAGACAGCAGCAACAGTCCCAATATCCATGGCAGCGACAACCACAAAACCGGTATCAAACAGAACGGCAACCACAGTCTCAGAGAAGCACACGGCAGCAGCCTTCGTATCCAACAGAGCAGCAGCCTTGGTATTCACCTCCAACCACACAACGACCTCAACCTCAGTATCCATACGACCATCAACAGCAGCCACGGTATCCAACAACGCAGCAGCCCCGGTATCAATACCAGCAACCACAAGACCAATACCCAACGAACCAGCCTCGGTATCCAACAGAGCAGCAGCCGCAGACCCGACATCCTCAGAGACAGTATCCTGAACAGACACAGAACCCCAGGCGGAGACCAGAAACGCCCCAGAGACGGTATCCAACGCCAGATGAGCGGGCAAGCCGGCCTCAGAATCCCACAGAGAATCCATACAGACGTTCTCCGCAGAGGCAGCGGCCCGCAGAACCAGAAAAGCCCTCGACTACTGCTAGAACGACTCAGGAGCCTGAAGACGGCAGGAATTCGCTCTCTATAATTGATAAACTGTATGCACAGAGAGGACTGCAATCCTCTGGTTCAGGCAGAAGCAGCTTTCCGTCTCTAGACTCAGGCAATCTGGGCAATGCGACCACCACACGTCGAACGTCTGTGAGCAGGCAAAGCAGCGGCGGTGGCAGCAGCATCTCGTCAGCGGGTTCTTCTCCGTCAGTTGGAGACACCTCTCCGTTATCTGGAGACACCTCTCCGCTATCTGGAGACGAGCCGCCGACGGGCACACCGCGCGGAGAGGAGGCTGGTCCGGCGGGGGCCAGAGACGGGTCAGGGCAGGGCGATGGTAGAGGCAGAGGACCGTGGGTCAGAGACAGGAGTGTCTCCACGACAACTCGTCGGCCCTCGCTCTTCAGTAGCTTCCGGTTCCCTTCGGACAGAAACAGCGGCTTCTTCTACCGTAGGAGATCGCCGCTAGTTGCCACTGGCGCCTCGAACGCCGGCAAAAAGGATCGCAACGGCACGTTCGTCGGCTCACGAGGGGACCCGTAAGTAGATGTGGCTAATCTAGGGTGGTTAGATGTGACTTATTATTATCTAAATGTGGCTTATCTAACTACATATTTGGAAAATAAGGTTTTCTTAATGCGAATCGGCATCCATTCAGATGGCATTAGCTTGTTTTGCCTGAACGGTAGACAATTGAAATGCTTCTGTAATGTTTCCAGTGAACGCATTAATGACACACGGCTTTCGCGGCATCAGTCATGTCAGATCGATGCAGGCATTTTGCTATAAAAAGTTAGGCATTGGCCGTTAGGTTCCGACAGGTTTTTACCATCCTCTATATCCGAATGTTATACCCGGTTGGGCATTCAATTTTTGACATTTTTTTAGTTTCAATTGATAGCTAATTATGTTAGGCTTGGACTGGCTTTACAGTGCATTTGCTTTACACCAAAGCATCATTTGGCGTGACTGTCATTTGGGTGTGACTGCACGAAATGTTCAAAATAAACAGAAGTTTCATGAAATGGGTTTGTTTGAAATCAATCAAAAAGGTATGACGAGCCTTCAACATCACTATTTCTGTCGTAGGTAAATGAAGTTCACATTTGAGACCCTGTGTAACGCTGACCAACCGGACCACAGTGGTTTTCATTTTTATTTGTGACGTGAGGAGAATGTTATTTTTAATAGTTATTATAAGATTTTGAACTTTCTGTAAAACTCCTTTGATCGCGTATAAGCTACATATAGATCAAAATATGCGGCGTTCTAATGTCGTAAGTGACACTGCAGTGGCGGTCGCAGGGGGGGGGCATCAGGGCCATGGCCCCCCCCAAGGCAAATCAGGGGGGGCCATCATATCATTTGGCCCCCCCCCAAACAACCGATGGGCCCCCATGGCCGTATGGGGCCCTGGCCCGTATTCGATTGTCACGAGGCTCGAGAAACCCACGCCAGCTATTAACAGCTCCCATACCAGTCTTTGAGGGTCCTACACTGACGTCGGAGGGCCCTTCAGTGGTGGTCAAGCGTCCACATTGACCGCTGAGGACCCAAATTGACCTCTGAGGGCCCTCCACTGGCCTTTGAGGGCCCCTAAACCGGTCTCAGGGGCCCAACCGGCGTCTGAGAGCCTCATTCCGGCCTCTGATGGCCTCATTTCTGTCTCTCGAGTCCCAAGACCAGCCTTTAAGTGTCTCTGAGGGCCCGCACTGGATTCTGAAGACCCGATGTTGGTCTCTAAGAGCCCGCATCGGCCTCTGGGGGCCCCATCTTGGCCTTTGAGGGCCCTCCGCTGGTCTCTGGGGTCCAATGCCGGCCCGTGCCGGCCTTTTAGGGCCCAAAACTGACTTCTAAGGGCCCATGCTGGCCTGTAAGGACCCACATTAGCCTCTGAGGGCCCCCCGCACTGGATTCTGAAGACCCAATGCCGGCCGCTCAGGGCCCGCATCGGCCTCTGAGGGCCCATCTTGACTTTTGAGGGCCCTCTACTGGCCTCTGGGGTATAACGCCGGCAAATGCCAGTCTTTTAGGGTCCCATTCTGACCTTTGAGGGCCCCATGCTGGCCTGTAAGGGCCCACATTAGCCTCTGAGGGCCCCCGCACTGGATTGTGAAGACACGATGCCGGCCTCTAAGGGTTAGCATCGGCTTCTGAGGACCCATCTTGGCCTTTGAGGGCCTTCTGTTGGCCTCTGGGGTCCAACGCCGGCCCATGCCGGTCTTTTAGGGCCCCACACTGACCTCTGACAGCTCGTGCTGGCCTGTAAGTACCCACCTTAGCCTCTGAGGACCCCGCACGAGCTTCTAAAGACCCGATGCCGGTCTGTAAGGGCCCGCATCGGCCTCTGAGGGCCTATCTTGGCCTTTAAGGGCCCTCTACTGGCCTCTGGGGTCCAACGCCGGCCCATGCCGGTCTTTTAGGGCACCACGCTAACCTCTGAGGGCTCCATGCTGGCCTGTAAGGACCCACATTTGCCTCTGATTGCCGAATTCGGTCTCTGATGGTCTAAAACTGCCTTTTGCAGGCCCTGTACTGGTCTCTGAGGGCCCTAAACTGGCCCCTAAGGGCCCAAACCAGCCTAGGTCCCACACCGGCCTCTGATGATCCCATTTCTGTCTCTGCGACCCAAACTGACCCTGTGCCTCTGAGGGCCCCGTACTGGCTTCTGAAGGATCGATGCCGGCTTCTGAGGACCCATAACAGTCTTTAAGTGTCTCATGCCGACACCTCAGGCCCCACACTAGCCTCTGAGGGGCCCCAAACTGGCCTATGAGGTCTCTACACCGGCCACTGATGGCCGTATTATGTTCTCTGGGGGGCTCAAGCCTTACCTTCGGGGGTCACGCACTTGCCTCTGAAGGCCCACATCAGCCTCTGGGGTCCCACCTGGGGCCTTTGAGACCATTCGCTGACCCTTGGGTCCAACGCCGGCCTCTGTGGGGTCTGACACCGTACTCTAAGGGCCCCATTGCAGCCTCTAGGCGATAGGTATCGCCTAAGCGCTATCGATGGGCCCATAAGTGTAGGAACCATGGGTGCAGTGGGCGCAGTTGCACCAAACACAATTCTGCAGTGGGTGCAGACAATGTATTCTGCATCCACAATAATCTAGAACAAAAACCCCTTTTCTCAGCAACACTACTTTCCATGCAGCACGACAAATTTAGGATATTTTGCCCACTATCCATCTTTCGAAGCATTTGATACTGTAATGGTCTTCAAAATTTACATTTGTGCCCAGTAAAAAAAGAGAGAAGATGAAACGGAACACATGTGATTTAACAGTGAACAGATACCGAGGACCCACTGTCAAAAGTTTTAGCACGATGATCTTAGAAAATAGCAAAGTTAGCCGCCTAAGCCGCCTTTACTTTTGCGGTAGTCCATTCACAGTTGCGTGAATTATAGACAATATCAATAATTCAAAATGCACTTATCGGTACCTTTTCGACATTGTACACCCTCAAAGCTCGCAATGAGCCTCCGCTCGGGTGCCGCTCCCTACCCCCCCCCCCCCGCTTCACCGGTCATGGCCTGGATTTCTGTACCCGTGCACTACGCCCGTGGGCCCTTTTGAGCTAGCACCGGGCCCCCCGGGTCAGCGCAGGGGCCCCTTTGCCAAGTTGGCCCCCCCCCAAACTCCAAGTCTGCGACCGCCCCTGAGTGACAGCAATGGTCTTGACGGCAATGACACTTCACATTCGCACTAAGCAAATACCAGAGTGTTTCTTCGGCGAAGCGAGGGACTGTAAAAAGTTCATCGTTTTACAAAGATTATTTCATTTTCAGTAGGTGAGCAATATCATTGCTTTGTCTGGCGCCTGCTGTTTCGGGCCCCGGGGGTGAAAGCGCCGTCATTAGAGACAGCACTGTCTACGTTTTCAATACCAGAAGCCTAAGGCTGCTTCAAAGTTCTGGCGAAGACGCAGCAAGTCGGATGGAGATACTCGTTGCGGTACCATCGAGCCTCGAGATAATATATTATGATACGGCGAATAGTGGTTAACAGATATTAAAATGTGAAGAATAGAATAAGCGTTTATTACGAAACCTAGTAAGTAATCGTTTTTGTTTCGGGTGTCCATGAAAATAATGTCCACTTAATTCTGTCAGAAGCCATAGCCATAGAGTACCTATTGATAACATATGTAGTTACATTGAGTTTGCTTTATGCCGTGGATCTGAAGCGCAGCAGAAAAAAAAACTAATAACCACTTCTATAACTACTTCTTATCGGGCAAACACTTTTTCGTTCTAAACGGCTGTTAATTAAGTATCACATCACAATCACCTGCACGATTACCCAGTACCCACATCAATCACGATTCGATATCATTCGGTGCGCTTACTTCACATACTCGCATTGCCAGTGGAAAATGAAATAACCTACCATGAAACGACCATGAGATGCCAGTTTGCCTCAAACGTTGAGCTTTTCGTGAAGAGGAAGACCTGTTACATCGGTTAAGCTGCGTATGATATAGGTGGTGGGTCTCGAGGCAAGAGGTTCGTTTTGGGCCGTTTTTTGTGATATCTTTTTGATATTTTGAAGAAGGGTAATCCAATCCACTAAGCTGTTTTAAAGTCGTCTCATTAGATGTGTTGCTAGGGTGGCACGTTTAACAGTGCGTTGAATGAAGATTTGCATTTCCTTCATGAGCCTAGATATTGAATGATCACCGATTCGCATTAAAAACACGATACTCACTGCACTATTTTTGTCAGTTTTATAGCCAGTAGGAGTGCAACGAAACGTCTACTGGCTATTCCGTGATATCCAGTTTAAGAATTAACCTTACACATATCAAGCCACCTAAATTGTTTACATCTGCGCATATAAGATACCTATCTAATTATTTAACAACATGCATAAAGCAGAAGCCACAGAACACAACCTTTTGTGCGACTCAGTAAGAACGTATGCGTGGAGCGGCGTAACTTCACGCGCGAGGTGGGCGGTAGCAGGGGCTCGGGCCGCGCGAGCTCCAGCGGCTCCTCGTGTTCCTCGGCGTCCGGCACGCGGGTCTGCGTCTCGACCAGCATCGTCAACGGCGTGGCCACCATCACCGAGAGCATCAGCCGCTGCTGTCCCGGCACCGCGGCCAAGGCAAACGGCTGCGTCAAGGTCAGGATGACTAAGTGTAGAAGCGCGTTTTAGAGCAGAGAGAATGTATAGTTACTGTTAATCTTGTTAAGCCTGCGTATTTTCCTGGAAATGAGATAGGTCCCGTTTGACGACCTAATGCTTTGTAGCTCTTATGTGATCAACATTTATTAAAATATTTGTATTTACAGTAAAGGAGTTATCATGCAGTAACTTTTCATGTACGGACAAATTTATTACGATGTCGTGGCAACCAAGACTGCGGCAACATTAGTGGCAACTGCGTGCATTCTTTGTTCTATCAGATTGCGGTCAAGAAAGCCCCGGAGAAGCTGCAGGATTTGGAATCGTTTGCGTTCCTGCAGCTGCTCAGAAGGGCTGGAATGAGTGACATGCTGGACGGAAAGTACACGATATTTGTTCCGGCAGACCCCGCTGTTCAGAAGCTTCTGCGGTCTCATCTTGTGAGTAAGCGGGCCAACAGTTTTGGGCACCCAAAGTGTACGGCCTGTCAGGGCCGTACGGCCTGTCAGGGAACTCATATGTGCCCTTCTTTAATGTGTGCGACGGGCTGCCAGACAGCTGCTCTTTGGGGCGGTCATGTAGAGAGCTTCTGCGGAATTACGCTGGACATAAATGGGCCGTAAAACAGTTTCTACAGATCTATCCCAAGTATACGAGGCGACAGAAAGCTCCTGTTCGTCCATCCTATGATAATCTGTCATGCTGTCGTGCTAAGAGGTACCACGGCATAGACATACATCCTTATATGCCCGTCTGCATACATCCACAAACTTTGACATACATTTATGTAACCTGTGATGATACCGAGAACTCACTGTCAGGAAAATGTCACACATGCAGACATGGGGACATTCAGTTAGAGGATGTTGGACAATGCTACTTGAAAGGCTTCTCTGCTGGTCACCACTTTATTTGAGGCTTTGGAAATAATTTCACTTTGATCGATGTTATTAGCGGCACACTACCTCAAACCCTGTCTGGGGCATATAGACCCAGACCTGAACCTCTGAGGCTTGAGTTGCAAGCAGGAAAAAATATATCAAGGCTGGGAAAGGCCTAAAACGTTCCGCCATCCGATCTGTTATGTTCGTTAATGGAAGTCTCAGTCCAGCATTATTTGTCCTCTCTTTCAGTATTTGGAGCATTCTCCAGAAATCCGTCGTATCCTCGGAGGGCACATTGTCGACGGCATTCTCCCGGTGTCTCAGCTGACGTCACAGGTGGGTCGATTCTAATAATGCAGAAGTCAATGGAGTTGAATGGCGCAAACATGACATCCTTTTATTGATGGTGATTATTTTAGGTGTTCTCATGGGTTAAAGTTGAATTAACGTCTATTGCCATCAGCCTTAATTTGGGTTAAGCTGTCTACTCCAGAAAGGACTATTTAAGCTTGTTCCTAAATGGTCATTGTCTTTTAAGTTATTAATCGATTTAGGCCTCACTCGAGTATTTTGTCAATTATTGACCTTTCATAGTCCGCACAGGTCACCAGGGAGCGGAACGACCCTTAGTAGAGCCTGTCGCCCCAAAGGTCGAGGTCACAGTGGTTCACTCACTGACCGTACCCCACCCCCAGACGCCAGTGATGACCCGCGCGGGCCCACTGTGGGTCACCCGGGGTCACAGAGGTCTCCTGGCGAACTGCGAGCCCCTCCTGTCACGTGACCGGCCCACGCCCGGAGGAGGGGTCATCCACACAGTGGAAGGAGTGCTCCACTCCGACCGTCGGTCACTGGTACAGGTCGTCAGGGACAGGCCGGAACTCAGCACACTGGCGCAGAGTGAGTTATGTAAATGGTTGTATATATGGGGTTATATAATAGGGGATTTCTTTCTGCTCATTCTGTCATGAGCTACTCACAATATTCAATGCGATATTACTTACACGCCTCACAGCGTGTCAACGCTGTAAACGTGATGATGGGTGCTGCCCCGCTCTTTAAGTGATTTTTATTAGAATTATACTCTTAACTAAAAAAAAAAATCATGAGCCATGACCATTTACCAAGCTACATGGCCAAAGTAGCGATGTGTACTTCAAATATTTATTGGGCTGTGGTCACCTTACATTATTTTGTTTACTTACAATATAGAATATGCGTGCCGTCAAATATCGCATTATGTCCATGAATTATGAATTAGCTCAATATGAACGCACTCTGAATTATGAGCTAACCTATTTCTATTTTGGAAGTTTCTGGACTTAGAATTCCGAAAAAATCATAATCTACGCAGAATTAAGCGTGCTTTAAGAATCTGAAGAGAGCTGAGCTCTAAGTGCAACCGTTCTGCTTAAACTTAGAAAATAAACAGAAAAAGACCGTTTTATGTACTTGAAGATGATAAAAAAGACCGATTTATGTATTACATATAACGGTCCTGACAAATTCACTTCCGTCATTTCTCGGTCCTTTTTGGGCCTTTTTTACCCAACTTTGACCTGACCTAGCTCTTAAGTTTTAAGACTTAGGTCAGTTTTTCTTTTACGAACGTTAAGAGTGGACAATTCCCTACCACCTAATACCCCGCAATTTTAATTTATACCAAACATAACGCTTTTAGAGCGTTTTGAAGATAGGTCTACCAGGACCGTTTAATGTACAAATCGATAATACATTTTCTAACAAGACCGGGTCATGGATTAGAAGCTAACCAATGTGAATTTACATAGTTCACTTGATAATGGAAAATGGGCACATAACGGACAATAAACGTAGTTTTCCGAAAGTTGATGTCGAATTGAAGGTAATTCCAAAGCAAAACCATTCAGCTCGACGAAATATGTCATATTATTCTACCCTCATAATGTAAAGCAACTAACGAATCTAGCTATTGTGGTCGGATTATATGCACACGCTGTGATGTGGGATATCAATATGACAGTCTAGAGCTGCTTTGATACAGCTTTGCCAGATGAGATGAACGTATACACCTTTTGTTCTCTGTACTCAATGAAGACAATCCGACATGACAGCGCCATCAACCCTGTGCCTGACAGGCTTACCTTTCTATACACGAACCGAAAGTCGGTGTTATCAGATACGTCATGAAAGCAACGGCATGTTTACCTGATACGGCCGCGAGATTAGGGTTTCCGACGATGATATTGTTGCCTTCTGGGTATATATTGAGTTCGCTGGGACGGCCGGGCTGGCGTCAATACACTGCTTTATGACGCAGTAGCCGGCACATCCGCCTACCGTAGTCCGTGGTGACGGGTGTGAGCGTCATTCAAACCAGCCAGGCCCCGGGATGGGCGTTTGTTTGTGTGCTTATGATTGAGAGACTGGGGAAAATAAGATAAAGAGGGGGGGCGTCTTTTATCTCGGGAAGGAGACAAAAACGAAATAGTGGTTTAGCTTTATTTCCATAAGTTAAAACACATTTTGGAGTCTCCCTCGACGCTCAACTTCCAATCCGGCACCCTATCAATATTCATTTAGGATTTCTATCGTCAATATTTTTGTACCTGTCCCGGAAAGCGGCGTGTTGTCTTATCTGGATTTCCGTTCGACGTCAGCGATACTCCACCCGGACGCCATACTGGGTTTGCTGACATTTGGCTTCAGTAAGCCGACCGTTATCCGCATGCCGGGAACATATCGCGGAAAGTGAGTTGCATCTATAGTTTACGGAATTGATTCCAGATTGAACTTTGAAATCATATCGGAGAAACTCTATAGCCGCTATATGATGCATGACCCCAGAATACTTTTATGGAACATGACAAAACCATTTTACAGTGCTGGTCGAGACGGGTCTTGCCGATGAACTAGACCGCCGCAGGTCGCTGACACTGTTTGCTCCAACGAACGAGGCGTTTGAGAAAATCCAGTTGCCAGAGGATGCCTACATGAGAAAAGGTTTGTATAATTCCGCAACACTACCGCCCTGCTCTGCCCCCATGCATTGCCATGTGCACAATAAAATATTTGCATTCCACGATGCCTCAGATATGCACTGCACTGCTGCATACGGTGGTGTTGCATTTCTTCCGGTACTGGTAATATGTTTGTGTGCTAGGCTTGGCCATTGTTCAAGATCAGTCTTTCGAGCTTCTTCACATCCATGTACTGTTTGTTATGGTCCATCCACGTGTCTGTATCGCCCACAGAGATCCTGCGCTCCCATATTCTGAGCGGCTTGCAGTGCCGGGCCGGTCTGCCGGGCGGGGGCACGGACGGCCGCGGCCGGCCTACGCTCCTGTTTGCTGACGGCTCCCGGGGTGTGACGGTGGTACCCCGACTGCAGGAAGCATCGAGTACCGTCCAACTGGCAGGTCCCGGTCTGATCACCGCTACTGGCCTGCTGCAGACGGTCACACAGGTCATCATGCCGCCGTTTGGTGAGGGATGCTGCTATATCTCACTGCCGTATCATGGATATATAAGAGATAATGAGATACCGCCCCCGGTCGATCGATGTTTCACACCAGCGAGCGAGCCATGCTGTCTCTCGGGGATTTAGATAATAGGTTTACTGCTGCATGACAATGGCTTCCCGAATCAAACAACTTGTTGAATTGATGCAGAATTATACAGTGACCGGGAAGGCACGAAGCTTAAGTGACAAGCGAACAGATGTCTGAATGTTGATTCAACCTGTCTACGACCGTTCTTCGTAGACTGAATGTACGACCGACCGTTCTTCAGCCGTGGCCACACTGACCACCCTCCGACGTCTGGAGGACTCTGCCAGGTTCGCCCATCTCCTGGCCAACGCTGGGCTATCCGATCAGGCCAACGGAGAAAACGTGACTTTGCTGGTGCCACCGTCAAAGGAGCTATCCGGCCTCCCTGACACGGTAAAACGTCGATTTTAGTGTTTATTGTAGTCACAGACGGTCGAAACGAATGCTTTCCGGCAACTTATGTAAGGAGTGCTTTCTCTCTGTTATGTAAGGCTTTCTCTCGCTCTAATTTTACTTTTGAATGAGCCTTCTGGACGTTAAGCTTCAATGTGAGGATGAAAGGAGCACTGCGATTGTTGAACTGCTTTTGAGATATATTCGACAATTGTCTGGATAGAATTTAGCTATTCAGGTTATAACCTCAGTTCGACGTAATTTCTGTGTTCTTTTGAAAAGGTCATGTTATATAAAAGAGTTACTTGACTGATATTTCTTATGATATAATGCTACTATTAAACTCAAAAATAAAGAATTATGAAGGACGTCGTAGTTCCATTTTGCGACAAGCAGGATATATTTACATTGATGAAGTTGGTGAAAGCTTTTGTTCGTTCCACATAAGTTAGGTAAGCCTCTGAGCGCTGCTTTGTTACGATAGTTCTGGTGCTGGTACTGTGATGCTCACTCGTCTCTCCTCTCCTCTCCCCAGAGTCGCGGCCGTCTGCGTTCGCTGCTCTCCCCCCACCTCCTCTCCGGCTCCGGGCTGCGGCCGGAGCCGGGCGGTGCTCTCTGGGCACAACCCCTCTCCGGCGGCCGACCGCTCCTGGTCACAGCCCCCTCCCCGGGACCAGCGGCCGACCAGCCGCCGCTGGTCCAGTGCTCGGCCGTGCTGGGCCAGCTGGATCTCGATAAGCCAGCGGTGGATGTGCTGGGGATCGGCCAGGTGCTGACCCCGCCGGCAGCCGACCTGCTGACGGCACTTAATAGCCGACCGGAGCTGTCCAACTTTGCCAGAGCTGTGCAGGTCAGTGGGTCGGTCTGTCCTTCTGAAATTCTCAGTATGAATGAATCTCATTACAGCTGTTAGAATTTACGAGATCTGTGCAAATCACAAGTAGTACTGCGCCCGCCCACATCGTTCACGGCTGCCTCGGTCAGCTGCTATACGCGATATTTCTGCAAGCGACACGACATCCGCCTGAGTCGCGTTCAACTAAGAATATGCGGCGTTAATTGTCCCTTGACCCTTAAGAGCTGTTACGTGAGCTTGAAGCGTCAAGGACATCCAATGTATCCATATTCATAATCAATGTAATGCATTGTCCAGCCCAATGTCTCTCAAGGGGAAAGTATCCTACTTTAGAGCTGATATTTGACAACAGGAGAGAGACTAGTTTGAATCACTGCAGCGCCTATTATTTTTCTCTACGGGGATGAAATACGGTTATTGTCAGTCGTCGCGCCATACGGACAGAAATGATCGGTGAAGTGGGTCTCGTCAGGTGCCTGACTAAGTAAATACAACAGTGTTGCCCTTAGTTCTGTAGCATATTCTGCAATTATACTGAAGACTTTGTATCGGCTCGTTAGCCAAGGCAATAAGCAAAGGGCGCCTAGCCATCCCTTGGCGTATTTAAGATAAACCCAGCCATTGGCAGTATCATATCAAATAAGCTTGATAGTTGAAATTGAATACATTGAGGAGGGAAGGAGGAGGCCTATGTGCGATCAGCAAGGGTACGAGGTAGAGCATAACGCAGTAGCAAACTCAATTTCAGATTAGATCGCATTGATATTGCGGCGTAATATTTACTATAATGCATATTCCATATTCATCACCAACCCGCACATCACAAGCGTCGAAATCTTTCCCTGAATACTTTGATGGCTGCTACCTGAGCTTCTAAGACTCCCGGGATCTAGTGGGCTTCAATGTGCGCTTTAGAATTCCTTCCGAACACCCCACAAGGCTTCTGAAAATCGACGGGGCTCAACAGCTTTCCGATTCCGAGAAAGTATCGTTTGTGGCTTATTCTCGGGAAGAATGGCATGCTGCTCGTAGGCAAATGAGTTTTCGCTGAGCTATATTTCGAGAAATTACTCATCTTACAGCCGCAGGCATTTCCATCAGTGGTCGTATTCTGGAGCTCACTCGGCCGTCGGGTTAGACAAGCACAATGGAATTCTCATCAGCCAGGATAGCACAAAACAATGTATTATGTGGTTTGTGGTGAAGAACGACAAGCGGCATTCGAGAGCCAGTTACAAAATCTATCGACAGTCTTCCGACCAGTGCAGTGTTTCGGTTAGGTCAGCGCTGAGACAACCTTTCGTCTAATCGAGATCGAGACACGCTTTATTTAGCCGCAGTCATGGAGCACATTCATTAGGAGCTACTTCAGAGACATTCTTCAGATTCATGCTTCAGAGACATCTGCCGGCGGGAGCAGGAACTTTGTGCTATGCGGTGCAGCATAGTTCAGGCGCTAACACCTAGAGACATCTTGTGGCCGGTATAAGAAACTGCCGAGGTCTGCGGTGCAGCATCTATCAGGCGCTAACCTTCAGAGCCATCTGTTGGCTGATGCACAAACTGCTGGCTGAAGAACGCGGTGACTACTGACAATGAGTGAATGCAGTTATATGCTATTCAATATCATGATAAGCTGCACATTCAGTTTGGTTTGTTTCTGTTCTAACTCTTTTCCTACTTTTTGTGTAATAAATAATATGCTGGTTCGCCAGGATATTTGGTCATGTTTAGTGAACGTCTGCATATGTCTTGTGACAGCGGATCATAGCCAGTTGTGTGCAAAGTGGCTTCTGTTTTGCCCTTTCCGATGATAAAGTATGTTTTTTTTTAAGATGCGCAACTAGCTGCAGCTCTAGGCTGACACGTTCGACAGGATGGCAGGAGCACATGCCAGCGTGACACTGCAATCAATCAATCTGGAACCAGCACGTATGTAACCACCAGCGAAGCACGTGCTGCAGTAACTGCGTCCATCCATCCCCTGACCGCTGACTCGGCAGTCTGTCCGTCCTAATGCCGGACCCTTTCTGTCCGACTGAGGTCGTGTACTCTCTGCTCTCAGCTCTCCGGTCTGGCTGACGTCCTGGGTTCCGGTCTGTCCGACGAGCTAAGGGAGGGAGATCTTCTCACACTACTGGCTCCTGTCAACCCGGCTCTGGTGGACATCAGTTACCTTGATACGACGCAAAAAGCGGCCGACTTTGTGCGCGTCCATCTCATTCGCGGTAAGTGGACGCAGTGGTGCGACTAACACGCTTTTCCTCGGCAATATACATAATTAATGTGTCTTAACTGGAAAATAATGTACGCAGAAAAGTATGGCGTAGGCGTATTCTGAATATGAAAAATGGATTTGTCTGACTGTGCTTGCCGTACATTGGCGTGTTTACACTGACATGTTATGTTTGTCTTAGCAATTACCTGATGCATGCTTTAGGGAGACAATGAATTGCTAGTAATATCATTATCTGACAAATTAATGCATCGTCAACATTAGGTCTTGATGCAAGTAACCCGTACTTTATGCCTCCAGACGCCATTTGCTGCGGCGGTACAAATCCGTTAAGCTATCTGCATTTATGTATATGTATGACCCCTTACATAACTACTTCCTTGGGTGACTTCTTACATGTTAGTATGAACCTGTATTTTCTGCTCTCAGGTGCCGTCTGCTGCGGCGGTATGAACCCCTACCTAACCCCATACCGTCGGCTGGACGGTGGCCGTCTCTTGATGGCCAGTTCGTCCGACGGCGGGGCCACGGTGCTTCCTTTGGACACGCTGGCCACGGGGGCGGTGGATACAGTCTCCTGTGACCTGGTGACCTCCAATGGGGTGCTGCACACGCTGCGCCGACCTCTGGAGGGGCCGGGAGCCGATACGGACCCGCTCTCTGATGTTTCTGAGCTACAGTTGTCGCTATTTATGCCCGCTGTCTGAGACATGAGGTGTGATATCTGAGACAGGAGCTGTAATGTTTGTCTTATTTGAAAGATTGAATATTTATTCTAAATGCGCAGTTAATCATCTGAGTACGATTATTTTTCATAATCGATTGGAAACATGTAATAAAATACACGAGCACATTGTTCTATGAAAAACATATAACAAAAACGTAATGTCGTTTTTTCTAGTACCAGCTTAATTTTTATTTCATTCCAATATTTGTGCCCATGCAAAAACGTTATTAGTGACGCCAGACCCCGATTCACAGTTCCTCAAATGTTTGTAATACCAGTTTTTTTTCTCGCTAGGATGCCAAGATTCAAGACTGGGGTGAGCTACATCTTGCCGATTACTCAGCGCTGCACCATTCTTCATTGATAACATTAGTTGCGTGGCATATTACCCAAACGGCTGTATTAGTTAGAGGGTCCTACCCTGGCCCTGAAATCGCCTGCCTGCTAAATGGATTGCCGACATCGTTTAAGTGCGATATCTAGGTGTACTAAAAAGGAGTATCGAGGGGATCGGGCCCATTCAGCGGTGCATGCCAGTCCTTCATGAACCCAATCAACTCGGAAATTACGAGCGGATCGGTGGTGTGTACCGACTACGCACTGTTCCAGCTACCTGCTCGACTGATATTATCACAGTCATGCAGCATACGGTCGGTCGTGCACCTACAGAGACACTGTCAGAATTTGTAATCGAACAAGTGTCAGTCGCCAGGCATATTTGACGTGTACCATTATTGAGCTCATGCTCCAGGGAGCTTGACAAGGAAGGTCGTATTTTAGCGAACAGTTGTGTGTCAAGTGGTACCGATGTTCAGCACGAAGTTCTTCTTCAGAAAACCCCTTAAAACTTGGCGTTACATTGATGGACACATGCCCAATGAGCCGATATCGATTATAGCTCAAATGCAGTGAGCGTTCGTTCCCGATGTCATTTGTCAAATTAATTCGTCTGTGATATAGCGACCAAAACTCGGAAGGACGAGACAATCGGTCGGACGACAGACCAGCCATGCGTGACAATCGCGTGCACACTGGCACCGCACGTGCCAGTGACCCAGGACACGTGATCAATCATACCGGCAGGGACTGTATGGCATTCCAAGACGACACTTTGTTTCCGGGACAATAGCCTTGTTTCCGGGAAGTGCATGCTTCCCGGTGCGCGCACGTCTTCCCCAGATGCTGTGCTCAGCGCTGATGCAGGTGTTTCCTAGCACTTACCGGTGAGCACTCATTCGGTGCCGAAACTTGAGTCATTTCTGCCTTCCGCCGCTGCTGGAAGGATCCAATAGGTGCAAACTTTCCGGTCTGGGCATACTTATGTCAAACAGTGCCTGCGAAACAGAAGTTGCTAATGGTGTTGCGACGAAACAGCCGCCGTGAATCGTTTAGAGAATATGCTGCACGCGATACATCCGTCTGGAATGAGAAGACGTTTTTTACAGATAGCCTTGTTGATAATTTGAGTAGTAAAAGACAGGGTAAAAACAAAACAAAGCAATTACGAACACATTATCAAAATCACGTTTCTTGAAGAAGCAGCGTTTGCCATCATTTTTATAGCATTGTCCACTGAGGTGCAGACGCCTTGCTTGTCATCACTTATCTTAGTCCCAATGCTTATTATTTTCTCTTTCTCAGTTTAGAATGTAAAAAGTGGCCACGGTAGCTTTCACGACAACGTCTCTGCGTAATTACGTACGCAATCTGAGCAGTTCCACTCCCCCGCTAAATTTGACAACGGGCACAATCTCATTTCTGAAGCGGGCTTAATTTCATCTTCAGTCGGCTAGCTAGCCGGCCATGCGTGCTCCGTCTTATTTCGGCCTCCTCGGGGAAAAGTAGCGCACGCTGTGATGAGGCTTTATTGCTAATTGTTCCCGTTGTCCTACCTCACCCACTTGCTGGAAAAGACTGACTACAGATAACGGTGCACTCACCGAACGCTGGCAAAATAGATGTACTCGTATATACGGACTGCCTTACCCTCAACGGAACTTGTTAAAATAACCGAGATGTTGTCTGTAGGTAGAGAATGTTGGTGACCCAAGCTGTGAATAACAGAGGAAACATGATATGAAAGGCAGGCATGTGGTTGCGCACTGCGCAGTGTGTAGGTACGGGTTTAGGGTATAAAGTACGGACTACGGATCCGAGAAAATAATTCTGCGACAAGGTGCTATGTTGTTCTTAATTTGGGCTCCGCCTCCGATGCCATGCTTTAGATCTCTTTCATTTTGTATCAGGCACAGCGAGGTTACATCAACGGACATGACTTGGCAAGGAATAGACTGATATTATTGATTTTTCAAGTCGTTTTTGTCAGGACAGAAATAAGATTTTTTGTCCTACAGGATAATCGCGCTGACGCTTTATTTCAAGGCTGCAGTGTAATCGGAGTTACGTTTGTGATACTAATTTGATAGTTTTTTTTTTGCCAGAGGCTAGGGGAAGTTGGGGCAATGCCGGAGTTGGGGCAAAGCCGAAATTCGAGATATTTCGAAAACCGTAAGACATGGATGCCACTTGTCAGTGATGCTCTGAAGCTTAAGTGACTACAATTATCGCATGTTTGTTACGAGTCGTCATTCGGAATACTTCGGCTGTGAGGGCGCCAAGAGCGTTTTCAAGGTACGCGTTCCTTGTACTACATGCGCCTTTGAAGCTGCATTTCTTACTCATTATGCTACCGTTTGTCTGGCCAATTCGGTCAAGTAATCTTCAGCATGTCTTTGCATAAGTGTGCTGCCTATTTGAAATTTATACGACACGTTGAAAAGTTATGGGCCTGCAAATGAAAGTATGGCTGGCTGGGGTAATGCCGAAAACGTGCAATGGGGTTGGGAACTCGATTTTTTTAAGAATGCATGAAAATGATCAAACTATTTTCACAGAATTTATGGTGCATACAATTTGCCTCATAAAATCAATAAGCTGAGAGAAATGGGGGAAGAAAGATAGGAAACTTGTTTTGAAAAGTTCTTGAAAAAGATGCTCTTGATGCTGTTACGTCACATGTCACCTTCTGCGGTTGACAAATAATGGCGCATCTGGCGCACCACAGATTACCTACATGTTATATCAATGGGTGAAAGATGTTGTTTGCTTCACTCTGCCATTCGCGCTGTTTTTAACTTTAAATTATGCTAAAACATTTACGGATGAAATGTTCAGTGTCAAAAATTGATGTGTCTGCCGTGTACTATATTCCCACTTAACATGAGCGCGTGATAAACATTTTATGTACCTCGAATTTTCAAATGATAAAGATGATGAATCGGAGGATGCTGAAAAGCAAAAGCTCATTCCAATATTTGGACTACTTTACGATTAAAATGTTTACATTCCTGTCATCTTATTGATCATTTATTTGTTCTTTTTTATGAAAATAACTTAAGGCGTTGAGAACCGAGGTAATTTCTATCTACCGTGCCTTAACTTACCAGCAACAGCAATCTATCTTCGCCCAACGGTGGCAAGGGAGACTGTGAAAGAAGCGTAAGATGGATTCTAAACAATTCTTTTGTGATATACTGAAGGGCAAAGTGCAGAGAAGAGCGTACAAGTCCTGTTTTGTGCCAGGCTGTTGCAGTAGCACTTATGAAACTCCGAAAACGATCTTCGTTCATGTCCCAAACAACATTACCCTGAGGAGATGATCGTCTGCAATAGCAGGAAGAGCTGATGCAAGTACTTTGAAATCCACTATCAAGTCGGTGCTATTGTTGTAATGATCACTGTGAGGTGAGATATTTTGTGCAAGGGCTGAGTGTAATGCCCAGGAAATGACCTCCATTCGCCCCCTGACCGGTCAGGGTTATAAAATTTGAGTGGATGGCGGTCCGTTTGGGGTTCAGATGTCAATTGTATTTTGTTCCTGTCAAACAATACATGTTATGCTGGCAGCGAATGTGTGTAACGTCGTTTTTCGAAACAGAAGTTAGAACTGTAACGACAGAGTGCTTGCTGGTCTCATCGTAAGTATTGTAAGTGTTGTACAGCAAAAGCATTGTCAATATTGTAAGTATTGTGAGCATTGATGTATGGTAGACATCACCTCACATGATCTCGGCTCAGATAACCCTCTCCGGTGTCCCTGTCAGTAAATGGCACCTGGACCATTACAGATAAGATAATTTGTCATAATTCTTAAAGAATTGGGTGGTTTTGACTCGTTTACTCGAGGTGCAGGTCGCATTTCAATACTTTTCCATAGGCTTGCAATGTAAAGGTCACGACTCTGACCTAACCTCAGGTCACAGATCAAAAATTCTGAGATATACAAACGACACATACTGCAGGTACTGTTTTAAAGACTTGATGAGAGGAAATAACTTCGTGAAAAACTCAAGCTCTGACGTGTTTGCAAACTTTTCTGAGGTGGGTTCAACAAACCCGCTCTGGTTACCTGACCTGACCTGACCCGGCATTTTTTTTTTTTTGCTGAGATGTGCGCAATGAGCATTTAGGAAAAGTCACCAAATATGAGCTGAATGTCTCGCGGCGTTTGGCAATTGTACAAGAAAATCCTGAAAGGTCTCCCCGTCCGAAATAGGGTTAATGTGTATATGAAGAGTTGCAGATGCCAAACATACCCAGATCTAAGACTGCAGTTCCCAGCGCCGCTGCAACGTTTTTAAAACAAACATACATAGGACATACAAACATGTGTATTTGCATCTGTTTTGGATAATAGCAAGTAGCAACTCATGACGCCATCACCCGCGATAACTGTTAGGATTTGAGATATATCTTTATTTAGGCCATTAGTTTGGCTGTAATGTTTATTAATATTAGTTGGGCGGAGTTTGGTAGTTTTTTATTTAACTTGTGGTATGTTGTGCTGATTGCGGGTTGTTCAAACCTTTCAAATGTAAGGACCTTATTGAACTCAACCCTACCCCTACACTACCCTACATACCTACGACTGGACGCTTTCCAAGCCCACAAGCATCACGACGCCGAGATGGAATGTAGCCGAGAAATCACCCTCGCCATCTGCTCTAGAGCTAATCGTGTGGGGCGGCGTGTGGGGCGCCGCTTATCCTATGGGGGTGCACTTCTAGTGGATGGGGGACGGGGGTGCACCTGCACCCCTTTCATATGGAAAGTTACTTCCCTTATTACAGCTCCCCGTATTGCACCTAATCAGGGAACGGCCAGCAAACGAAGGAACTATTTCTGGATGACAGGCGAATAACCGCTCACGCAAGGAGCGGAGCTCCGCCCCGTCCAAAGTGGCCAACAGGCAACAAAGCAGAGACAGAAGCAGCATCACATCTTCCATCAAAGAACTGGTTTCTGGCTTGGAAGATGAGCTCCATCTTTGCATCCGAGTCGGTGCTGTCAGGAATCAGCTGGTCTAATGGAGTGAGAGTAGTGAGACGACTAGCTATTGTATCAGAGCTGCCTGGTCTTCGTAGCATTTGCACCGATTCTTCTCGATCGGACTCTGAATTCTGTCCCTCCTGCGTATTACTTGAGGCATTGCTATGTAGCTAAGTCTTTGGCAGAGTTTCATTATCCATGCTTTGCAAACAGTGCCATAACAACACAGTTAATTAATCACCAAGCTTCTTTGCAAGTTCCAATACAGTTAAATCGCACGCGATTTGAGTGCAAAAATCAAGAAAAGTGCCAACTTGTTCCCGTAAAATATTTTGAATATTGACCTAAAAAAAGGAGTAATTTCCAGATAAAATAACAGCGAAATCAGTTTTCGCTTGCCAATAAAACTCACAGATATTGAAGCTCCATTATTAAAGGAACATTTTAGTATATGCCATTCTTGATAAAACTTCTTAGCCACGCAATACCAGCGCAAAATAAAGAGACACTGAAAACACGACCAATCACTCCGATTTACCATAGGAAAATACATAGAAAATGTATGTCTCAACTGCGCCAAATATACAGACAGTTATATACCTACATGTGACGTCATGATTAGCCCGACCAATCAGAAGCAAGTTGTTTTCAGCCACAAATAATTAATTTCTGAACTAACTAGGCATTTTTATAACAAAGTGATTTTAAATTAAATCATTAAAAATTCTGAGCTTTTTTATTTTACCAAAACATACAGAGCATGCAGATAGGTCCCAACCCTATTGCGCACTTTAAAGCACGCTACGTGGACTTTACTGGTGTAGAATAGCAACGCGAATTTTTAGTCACACAAATTACACTTTCAACCGACACAACAGCCTGTTACCTATAAGGAATTATTTACCTGGCATTTTCTTATTATATCACACAATTATAACTTCCAGTGTGCACCAAGCGTCCTCAAGCACTTAAAACGCGTGTCAGCTTTGATAAATTCTGGATAAAGTTTGAGATAAAGTGGCAAAACATCAATGTCGGCATTCCCCGTAGATCATTTCTCCCATTTTCGGCTTTCCCCGCAGTCCGGGGCAACGCCGAAAAAGTCACTTCTTTGATATTTTTAGTTTGTGCGCTTAACGGTATGCGAATTCATCAAATGCGCTTGGTATGTTTGAAAGGCAAAAGACTGGCCTCTCGAATGACGCCAACAAGAATAGCTTATGTTGTCTACCTTGCGTGCTACGGGCGTCAGAAAAAAAGTATTCGGCGTTCCCCCAACTTCCCCTAATGTGATCATAGATCGTCACTTCAGGACATCGTCACTTCAGATTTAATTGGAGCCAGATTCTAACCTGCACTTTGCCTTGAAATCCACTAAAATCCCAGATCCAACACCTTAGTCCATGTATAGCAATAAAAATGTGCCTTCTGCAATGCGTACTGGTCTATAAAAGCTAAAAGCTCTCTGATGGCCGATGGGTATGCATATGTAGGAGCTCCGTTATGAGCAAGCGCCGCCATTTACTGTTGGCTGGCCTGTTTGTCGTTGGGACGTTCGTATCATACGGGACGGCTGAGCCACAGCGACTGCTGGCTCCCTGCAGTGTACCAGACGGCCGGTGAATTGATTGAGCCAGTCCATTGTTCCGCTCATCCAATCTTCCCTTGAGCCGGGAGTGGTTTCAATCGGACTGAATGGGCCTTACCCAACCAAACAGACAAAAAAAACAAGATGTTGATGGGATGATCGCAATCCTCACAAAACACACGCGATGATATCTACACCCATAGTCTTATAGACACTGAGAGACGACGCAAAACATCATTTGAGCGAGCGTGTCAGTTGTATTGAAAAACGGCGCTTCACCGTCGGCGACTAGGTCGCTCAGAGGTGGCGGGGTCTACTTAGACATCGCGCTTCCGTTCACACGACAATCACGCCTATAAGGACAATAAATTAGGACACCTCACAACCACTGGTCCATCAAACACTGTCGATAAATTTTGATTATGTGCAGTACGGATAGATGATGTACGGTTCTTATCAGTGGAGAGAAATATCTAGCCGAGTGAGGTAATTCTAACGTCACATGAGTCGATTCGTAGTCGTTGCTTTGAGCTCGTTTGGCACTGTAGAAGCGTCGCATGGCACGGTATTGACATAAGTCTGTGTACAAATCAGATTTATCAAGTCGGCACACCTTAAACTATGGAGCCGCGAGTACAGCATCCGGTCAACTTTGAGCACTTTGTGCTAATCTCGTTTGATATCAAAACCCAAGGTCCTCAGGTACAACGCTCGATATCACTTATCACAACAATATTCCGACCGCCAACAGATTGTCTGTGATCGTTTTTCACACACTATGTACACAATTGCCGCTCGGCTGAGGGTGGTGGTCGAACTTCAGCTCGTGAGCCAGTCAGCGGGAAATCGCTCGCTTTCCAAACTCACACGAAGCCTCCTCTGACAGCTCGAGGGTCATTTGACCTGTCAGCTCAGGTTACACGATATACACTGCATCCGTCAGCTCGTGGTTTCTCATCCCAGACCGACCCTTAGGTCTTCCTGGGACACATGGGGCCTCTCACGGCACGTGGGGCCTCTCACAACACGTGGGTCTCTCAGACGACACGTGGTTAGTCCTCAGTATAAGGAGATCGCGTGCGGGTGTTCTGTGGAGCCGCTCGGGCTCCTCGGAGCCGCTCTGCAGTGACCTCAGTCGCCGACTTCGATCAGTGTGATGTGGTACGAGCCGTCCTGCTCAGCCTGCCGGATCTCCAGTAAGAAGGTATCCTCATTGCAGTAGTGTGCTATCATATCGTCGTCCATAGTCGCCGTCACCCTGTGGGGTCAGACAACGGGAGGTCAGACTGGGTCAGGTCAGGAGGTCAGGTCAGGCTAGTCTGGCTAGGTGAGATAGACAACATTAGGTCGTATAGGATCAGATCATCCACGTTAGACCAGGTAAGGTCAGTCTAGTTCGGCGGGACGGATGATCAGACCGAAAAAGATTGGATTAGGTCGGGTCGGGACAGGCAATGGCAGGAAGGTTACTCAAGTTAGACAAGACGAGTGGAAGTTCGAATAGATCAAAATACGCCAGTTCAATTCAGGTCAGGAAAGAACATGAAAAAACAATGAAAAGGAAGTTAAGGAAGGTCAGATGAGGTCAATAACTTTTGTCAATATCTCAATAAGTCGATAAAACGAAGATCATTTGCCACAGGCAATTATTCTTTTTATAGATCTCTACAAATAATTTTTACATGAGATTGGTATTCTTTACCGCAACTGAAACAATTCAGGCTTCATACAAATTCGATAGACATTCTGCACGGAGCACAGGAGCACTTTACACGACTCTAGAGAGGCGCGCGAGGGACCCGGCCGGCCTCGCTTTATTGACATTGCGCAGACGGCAATCTAATGAAGCTTTTAGCAAACACTTTCAACGGTATTCACGCTCCTAAATAACGTCCGACATCCGAATGCGTTTAAAATGGAAATAAGCTGTTGCATTAGCAACCAAACCTGTGATTCGAGTTATACTGAAACATATTTTACAAAGCACCAGAGTCTTAAAATGATTTAATTACAAAGAAATTGGGAAATGCACATGCTGGCGATGGATATCCCTGACAACAGACTGCCGGCTATGTGAGATTTTTTTTTTCAAATAAATTACGACAGCACAGTAATTCACAATCACATACAGCTATAGTTTAAATGCATCGTATGCCCTCATGTCCCCAGTCCCCACACATCAGCTCGTCATACCACTAGCACCACACCCTACATACCCTTTCTTGTTCTTCCGACAGAGCGTGTGAGCGCAAGACGTACTGATTTTGTACTTGCTCTGGATCTGAAAGGTAGAAAAGTGGAGCGAGGGGTCAACACCACGCATGCTGGAAAGACAGAGTGGTGTGTGCCCGAGAGAGAGAGGGTGGGAAGTGTACCATTCGCCGCGTGCCGATCACATGCCAAACCAAACTGAGAGCAACTACAGTGTCCAGAACCAGGTAATGATCTACGGATACCCGTCCCGTGCCGACGATAAACCATTGAATGTAGAAAACGCTAACTGAGATCACCACTCTACACTACAAGAAGGGCGAATTGTTCTTTCACCGGTTGGGTGTAAAGACGGACACAGTCACTGGCGACAGGAGCTGCACGGAGCTGCTTAGTTGGCTCCGTAGAAGTTCGGCTGATGTCCGAACAGAGTCCGCATCGCTAGTGACTGTGTCTGAACTACCGCGAGCTACCCATTGTCTGCTGTACCGCGGGTGTTTGCATGTCTGCGTTGTAATGAACCGGACCCGGGCTCGACTACAGCGACATCTGAACTCCAGCCGGGATACTCACGGCATTGAGTAGGCCCAGTGTTGTAGGTGGCGCTACGTGCAGCGGCGTGTAGACTTCCTCCTGTTCTTGACGGGCGTACAGCATCACCCGCTGGCTGAGCGGTGGCGTCAGTCGCGCCCGTTTGGCCGACGGGAGGAACAGGCCGTTCTCATCCCTGTGCTCCCTGCCGGGGGAGGGTGGTAAGTCTGCGGTCTAGCCGTCCAAACACGATGTGGGAGGGTTAAGCCGCGGGTCTTGTAGCCATTGAGCGGGGACGGGCGATAAAAAACGGGGTTTCGTGGTTCGAGAACAGCAACAAAGAAAACAGGACTCACATCAGGTAATGCATATTGACGTCATACTGTACAAACTTCATGGCATGTCTGGAGGAGGCTGATAGCAGAGGTCTGTGATGCCGATGCTGAACTCTGTCGGCGGACGCAGACCCACCACCACCACCACTCGCAGGCTGCCTGTACACTGTGCTGACAGTCACCGCCGTCCTCTAAGCGCTGGCAGACGTCGCTCACCTCTCTGCCATCTCGGCAGTGGCCGGGGGCAGGCTGTACTGACTCTGCAGGCCGTCAGGACTGAGGGGCAGAGCCGGTGACTCGGCCACGTCCTGGTACCTGCGGCGCCCGAAAAGCCGAGCAGGCCACAGTTAGTCACACGGACGAGCGGCCAGGCGCGCACGCAGGCGGTCAGGGCGCATGCAAAGCGCAGCGGCGCGGGTGAGGTATGGTGATGTCGATCGGCACGGTATACACAGCTTATGGCGAACACAAACAGCGTCGCTGGCAGTCGGCATACAGCGAGGCTGCCAGCAGCAATGCAATGGTGAGCAACACACAGACAGCGGGCACGGACAGGGCTCGGCGGTGCTGGCAGTGCTCACATGCAATGCAGAGTTTGGGAACAGTGTACTTCATTGGGTGCTCAGGAGTGATACGGAGCTTTCGGTGCCTGATATGGTTTCATGAATGAATTGAGTCTGCCGTGCTAGAGTTAACAATTTATATATTAACCGAGGATCGGAATTATTTGTTGCACCATTCTCTTGTTCTAGTTTCTACCTTTGTCAAACGTCAGACCGATCGTTTTTAAAATGCTCTGCACGATTGATTGTTTGACTCTTTCATAAAATTTCGATAAAAAAGAGAGTTAGTCATTGATATCATACGAATATTAGGAAACGCTCAATTTATTTCGCTACAATATTTTCATATTTTTAGAGTATCCCGCCTTTGTTTAAGTCATTATCGAATTCTCGGAGGGTTGTTTTGACGACTGGGCGCGGCCGTTTGAATTTGCCATCATTAATTCGGTTTGTCGCACGCACATATCTCTATAATGACTTTGAGAGCACAATGGAAGCGCATTTAAACAGCTCGTCTTTTTCTAGACTTTAATTACCTGTCATCTGACGAGCATACCTATAGTTAGGCTTGCAAACATTAAACAACGGGTTTCATCTTATTGCGACATGCAAGCACAAAAGGAAAGTAGCATTCCTGGATGCATTGGGATTTAGAACACAGATCGGTGAAAGGTACATAGCAGTAAATAACAGCCAACATCGCATTATAGCTCTTGATTGCTTTGACAACATGGGCATGGACATGCATGCAACAGAATGACAGAGAGCTGAAGAAGAGTTATACAGCAGGGCTGGTTTGCTGTCATTGTTCAGGCGCGCGTGGAAGATAGAACAGACAAGAAGAAAGATAAATGGAGAGTGTACTCACAGGCCGTGGCTGTCTCCGTCCTGCTGAACGTAGTAGTTTTGCAGCTCCATGTTCCCGATCTGCCGGAAAACAGGAGGTGACAGGTTAATCCGGGTGCAACCAAAGAAGTTTGTGAACGAATGAAACGAGGGACAAAAAAGTTTTCTATGTTTCGCCGTGAAATGGTCAAACTAAACTGCCGTAAATACTAGTATGTCGCGCAATTATTCTTATTCACTTAAATATCTTAAAACGTTCGCGTTCTATCAATTCATATATATCTGAGTCATCGCTGGATCCGTTAGCTCACGCTCTGACTCAGTGCTCAGTCCGTCTACTCATCTCTGAGTCAGCACCATAAACTCACATTCTGAGTCACCTCCCTGCCTATCGTCTCACCTTTTCCGAGTCGGCGCTCGGCTGGAAGAGCTGCGCCGGTTTCAGCGTGTCGGCCATGCTGTAGAACTCTGTCCGCTCGCAGGCCGGGTGGTACATCTCTTCCATCTTCTTACGGCCAGTGGCGGTCATTCGCCGCTTGGAGGCGCGTCGCTCCTCGTCCCGGGTCTTCCTCTCAGCACCCTGATGGAAGGGGTGAGGTTGATAAATAGTTAGAGGTAGATTGGCGCCAGGCCAGGCGGCATGCAGAGAAGTAAATGCCATGATAACACACAATAAATGATGACAAACACTACAGCAATACTCTTTGCAATCGCACTGCAGTAAATTCAACCCACTAGGCTGAACGATACCAAATGATCCGGGGCATAGATAAAGCAGACTAAACCGTAACAACAGGCCTCAGACACTAAAAATCGAAGTGTCATAGCCTCATGCAAACGAGTCTAGCACTGTGTGCTCCACATAATCTATAAGGAAATGAAAGCTGCTAACCCATTGCTATCGTATTACCCGAGCCTCGATAACCCGCTGCACCGTAGGTCACAGTTGGATATGGTTTCGAGCCCCGAGACCTCCACGCTGCTCTCACGGAATCAGCTCGTGCCTCGTGATTCTTAGCCCCACCAGTCACGTGCATTAGAGGTGAAGAGAGCCACGATGTTACATGACCCACGCCGAGGGTTGGAGGGGTGACCTGTCTAGGAAGGGGAAGGGTCAGGGTGAAATGGAGAGGGGAGGAAAAACTTGCGGGAGAGAGAGAGAGAGAGAGAGAGAGAGAGAGAGAGAGAGAGAGAGAGAGAGAGAGAGAGAGCCAGGGAGGTGCGATCGCTCACCTTGTCACAGAAGGATTTGACCTGGCAGTAAGAGCGCTGTATGACGGCTGCGTTAGGGTCCCGGTAGTCGTCATATGTGTCAATCTGCACGTGCAGCGGCAGACCCTGAGAAAGAGGAAACACGTGATAAAACGTTAAGGAAATGCCAGTGGTTCACGGGTGAGGATGAGGAAGTACTTACACCTTATGTGGTGAAACATTAAAGTAAACGGAACACCTTGGTTTACGATCAAATAGAATACGTTATGTGGCGGTTAGTGGTTTCGGAAGGGGTGTTACGTTACGGCTTCAGTGGTCAAAGAGAGCACGAATTACTGTGGTTAACGGTAAGCTCGAACAGTAAACGTAATTGTAGTGAACAACAAACGGTGAAGATGATATGTATTCAAGGTGCATAGTGGTAACGGTCAGATGATATCGATAATATAATAAATTGAAACATTTCGTGATTAAAGGTGGTTTGCATGCAGAAATGAAGCATATCCTATTCCATACACAACGCGTTCGATCCTGTAGGGGCAAGTGGTCTCTCTTACCTTGACTCCCTTTTGACTGCTGAAGTCTGTGCTGAGGCACTGCAGAGCAATGCTGATCTGAAAACAGACAGGCACTGGGTCAATACCGCTCCTCTTAGGGCATCATCAATGGAAGTTTGCAGTCAAGAATGGGCCAGTTTCGTGCACTGTTCCCATCTTCTGCTGATGAACATTAGGAAAAAGAGAGGAGGAGCAAGGGAACGATGCGAAAACCGGTTAACACGACGATAAATCTATCTTTGGAGTACCTTCCCCGAGGTCAGTGCTAACCTCATTACACCCGCGGCCACCAATTAACTACAATTAGCCACTCAATCACGGCTAACTGCGATATTCTCACCAGTCGCGGCCGATTAGCACCTCCTCACTCAGGGCCGGACCGGGCCGCGGCGGCTCGGACGGTGAGTATCGATAAGGCCGGGCCCATGGGCTGTCTGTGAGCTCCATCACCCGTGTAACGACTGATCGTGACCCGCACGGTCTGAGGTCACAGGGACCGAGCGCGGTATTAGCCGAGAGGTCAGTGCCGGGTGACGCGCGCGGACCTCGCCAGGGGTCAAGGAGGGGACCGGGATGATCCTCACCTTGGCTGAGCTCTCCAGTGGGTTCCAGTAGACGGCCACGGCGTTGTGAGCCACCTCATCGATACCGCCAACCAGACCGACGCTGTTCTTAGTGTCTAAAATGGACCCGGAGGACTTCAGTCAGTGACAGTGACAGTGACAGCAGCAACTTGCAACAGTTTGATATAGGCTGCTCATACAGACAGCGACATTAAGAAACAGTTATTATCGATTTTATCCACGTTCTTGTCCATCGGTACTTTCCCTGGAGCATGATGACATGCAAATGACTTGCAAAAGGCCTACCCCAAGAAACATAACGTTGCAGAGGTAACCGCTCGCTCCGCTACTAAGCGCCGTAATGTCGGATTTGCATCAAACGATTTCGTTGAGTGAACACTGAACACGGAACACTGCTTTTCAGATATATTCGCTCCGTGATCTGTATTGGACATCGTGGAGTCACGACTTCTTTCTTTCCATCCCTGAAAAAGGCAGCAGTTGGGCAATAACTGCCGGCAAAAGTGAATGTGAAGTGCTCATAATGGCACCTGACTGCTCATATATCGTTTCGATGTTGAGACTGTCGCACACAGAGGCTGTTCTATGGTAACCAGTAAGTTGCTGTCTTTATTTACCAATGTCGAGGATGCGTTGCTTCACGCTGTGCTGTCGGCTATGCCAGAACATCCAGGCTTTCGTGTCGTCTTCTACCGGCTTCTCCTCTCGGAATACCAGCATCACCACACTCTGTGAAGGTGGACAGACATGTGTGAGTTGTGAGAGAGATGTGAGAGATGAGAGAGATGAGACGAGAGAGAGAGAGAGAGAGAGAGAGGAGAGAGACAGAGAGAGGCATAGATACCATGCTGCTGTTCTCTACGTTTATTACAAAGTATTTACGGATTTATGCCCAAAACAGAAAGTCCGATTTTTGAGCTAAAACTAGATGACATTTTAATGCTGATCACGAGGATTCCTGACCTGACGTCGTGGTTGTGATCATCTCACCTTGACGGTTCCGTTCCTGAGCGGCTTGTCCGGATCGGGCACATACTCCATGGTGATGCCGTAGAACTGGCCCTTGTTGACGTAGGTTAGACGGTCGTCCTCGCGACGCTGGCTCGTCGAAATCGGTGCCTCCATGAAGAAACGGAAGCCGAAGTTGGAAAAGCTGAAAACGACACCATCCTCGTCAATCCCAACCTCGATTGGTGTGATTCTGTGGTAGGTAGTAAAAATAATTAGATAAACTAAGTGCTAATGCCGGCGGCCTGTTCCATAACTTGCACCGCCCATCGGTTTGTTGTCAGCAGAGTGTCACGGCAGCGCGCTCTGGGGTCACAGCGCTGGCGATCATTGCGGCCTAACGCCGGGCTCGTGGCCACAAATCGACTGAGAACGGGCCGTTATCGTGAGCCGGTTCAGGGGCCGACGAGATGGTATCGGCCGCGCTGCTGGCGGGCTGTGAGGTCCCCCGCGCACACACCCGGGCGGTGGGAGTGGGGGTACTGTGACTGACGTCATGGGATACAGCGTGACGTCAGATGGAGTCCAATGTGACGTCAGAAGGGGAGATTTGGTCCGATCAGATATACGTGCATGATGCCAGGTAATATCGATCGTCAGTTTGAGGGAAAAGAAAATGGGAACTCGTCTTCCTGCTGGAGAGACAATTAGCAAAACATGACCTCGGTACCTTTTTCATCCTCCCTCCTCTAATTCTCACTCCCTTCCCTCTTTTCCCGCTCTTCTGCCCAAGGTGTTGAATCACATGATGTGAACCGTGACACTCCTCAGATGAATTGTCCAGCATTATGGACCCTAATGAGTGGGTACACTGTACGTTTGTTGAAACCTCGATGGGCTCCTTGGTCGGTAAAGGAAGACTCGACGGCCAATCGTTCCGCGAACACAATTGACGGGGTGTGACCAAGAGCCCCAGCGACCGTTGTTAGTTACATAGCAACAGGCAACAGCCTTAGAGAGTCCGGCGGCGTAACATTCAAGGTGTGAAAGGTCAGCAGCACGCCCGAAGACGTGCAAAACTAGGCCAAAAACGACCTGTTTGGGGGCAGAGTTCACGCATTGAAGCAGGGAACATTCAGTTGACCCTTCGCACCAGCTTAACAGGATGGAATAAATGAGGATTGGGCGGGCGGCTGAAGGGTACACAGCCATGACATAAATTGTGGGCAATGTTCAACCCCAGGCGGCAGAAATGGTGCCGCCGGAGCGGTACGGGTAGTTTGATGGCTTAATTCTGGCATGCTTGACCTCATGCAGAGTGCGCCTTGATTTATTTGATTGATTCTATTAAGTCATACATTTCTTCACAATCAAGAACAAAGGGAATGGCTATGCACTTTGTGATAATGTGATGATGTAACGTTAACGGTACGTTCTTTTTCATGGTCTAATGCGAGTACATGATGCTAGAGGAATTAGAAATGAGTGTATTATTTAATTTTATCAGTATCATGCATATGATTTGAATACTCGTATACCCACGCAAACCACACCCTGCTGCGGTTCGCTCAACCCTGTATCCTTTTCCGGTACTCACATTTTCGGGATGTGGATTTTGTCCACCTCTGTCTGACGTCCGAAGTCGTGCCACGGCCGGGACCGGGATGTGGATGGCGATACCGGGCCGCGGATCAGACCCGGCTCAGCCAGCAGCGACGACTGTCCCACCACGTCCGAGTACTCGAAACCGGTGCCCTGAAACACAGAAAGACATAGCGGTTAGATACGGTGAGGTCATGGGAGGAGCACATGACGTCATGTGACGAGGCAGCTGGTGATGACACGATATGTGATGAATATCGTGTGAAAGGCTCTGAGGCCGGCCAGGTGCTGAGAGTGCTGAGGAGATGATAGATACGTGGGTGAATTTTATTTGCCCGTGATTTACAGTGGACATCAAAATGTATCTATTAATCGACTTCACGCCAATAACGACATAACGGGCTTCCGCAAAGTCTTCATTGCGTAGAGTGTTGTTGATGCGAGGTTACAAGTCAACGTCAATGATTATGATATACCTACAGGGAACAGGGAACAGGGAACGTAGGCACTCGGCCTGTACTCAGCAGATGCGATAGTCGTTTTTGTCTATGGCGACACCCGTCAGCTGCTACTCGTCTTCTGATCCGTCACTTAGCAAATAAATGTCCCTAGTGTAGCTATTCATCATGCCAGATCGTCTGCTTCCTGGTCCATGCTTGCACGAAAATGAAGATACAACAGTGGCTTGTCGGCATCCATAGATAGAACAAACAAACAATGCCGGGCAGCATCTTGCGACATGCAAACAGCATCAAGAAGTGCACACGGCTATGTTCATAGCCGCTCGTTTCATTTATGTATGCAAATGTAGTAACAGGCATGGAATATAAATGCAGGTTACATGCAGATTTGCTTACTCGACGACGCTAAGAATTTAAAGTTACCAACTGCATTTCTGAGTCGTCGGCGGACTAACTAATATTGTATTCTATGTAGTGCTGTCCATTCGGATGAACCAATCAAATATCGCCGAATCATGCTATCATCATCAGTGAGGTATGTCGTCCCTCGTCGTTATACGAGACCCACACATTTGGAGGTTCGGCCCCGCACATTTGAAGGTCCGGTCCCGCACATTTAGAGGTCTGGCGCAGTCGAGCGGGAACAGATGAATAGTCGGCCGGGCGGGTCCCTTTGCCGTCCTTCGGGCGTTGGCTGGCTCACTTTCATCCCGAGACTGAGGTGCCGATAGGTTCAGGAGCACTCTGTCGTCACCTCAGGCGCCCGTGTTTCAACCCACTTTAGGGAAATCGAACAGACACGAACAAGAAATGCCGAGACCTCGGCAAATTCTATGAGTCGATGGTTACATATTAGCGATAGAGATGAAAGGACGAGCTATTCGGGCCGGTGTATGTAGCAATAACGTTATAAATGATCGAGAATTTAGCATATAGCACGGGCCGTCGGTACCGAGCATATTACGAAGTTGGTCTGGTCATTGATCTTCGATGATATGATTTATCATTATACGCATATCAATAGGTACATGACCGTAAGCACATTTATATCACAGCTGTTATGGCATATGGAAAAGGACGGCCAAACTTGACGTTTATAAACAATTGCCGCATTTGTAAATCGCGTAATCGCATTTAAGCTTCAGAGAAACTCTTAAATAATGTCCTTTGCTTTCAGCACTGATCCCATGTTAGGGAAACACTACTCCATCTAAAACTTCGGAGCGGCACTCTTCAAAGCACACGTAATACTTCAGATTCAATATGCATTTACAAACCCACAAAAAACGTGTTATCGATCGATCGCTGTTCATCTTTCTGCTCGGAGCGCGGTGCACGCCAGCATATTTCTGATGCCGGGGGCGCGCCTGTGCGACCGCCGCTTCCCAAAGAGCGCTGCGCCCGCGGCGGAGCGGAAGGCATGCCGGAGGTGAGCTCAGGTCGCTGGGAGCCGAGCGACTTCCGGCTCACCCAGCGGAGCGTCTCGTCCCGCCCCGTCGGCGGGCACCTACTCGACTGGTTCTGCAGCGGCCCCACTGGAAAGTTCCGCAATCCTACAGTAGCGGTGTGTCTGACACATCCCCGCCCGCCGAGTGACCGGACAACAGCCCCGATCAGCGTCAGCAGCCCCGGCGCGCCCCCGGCTTACCGATGAGTGCAGCCGTTGCAAAAATGCTGGTATTTATTCTGATTGAAAGGTGACTTACAGCACGCCTACGCAAGAATTTAGTATCGTAACTTAGGCTATCGATAAACCATATATGACTAGCAGAATTATTGCATCAACAAGTTTGTAAGAAGGCCTTACCCCTTCGCCTAAAATACACTAAGCGCTCACCGCATAAGAGCGGACATATGTCCGGCTTTCTCGAACATTTCACCGGTAACGGGCTATCCTCAGGACATTCGTTCCATGGAGAAACCTCGTCGTTCGGTAATGGTTCGCTCACAGCGCTGGTCCTTTGGAGCCACTTACACCCGAACACTCCACTACGTGGTTACACCATCAATGGGTGCTCTTCACAAAAACGACGGCGTTTTTTTACACGACAGCCTGTGACCATCTATCAAAGGCGACGCGGTGTCGTCGGGTGGCAGTCAGGACGACCAGCGTATCGGGGGAATTGAGGGAGCGTTCGGGAAATCCATGTCGGTGTGGGGTGAGAGAGGTGGGACCAGCTCGGAGTGGCTGGGACGGTGATTTAGGGAAGGTGACTGCCTCCGAGAGGCCTTTCATTAGCTGAGGATCACCTGAGACGGAGAGGGTACAGAGTTGGGAAGTAGGGACTGAGGAGCCGTAAAGCCAAGCTGTCCGGCAATGGCGGATATGTCGGATATCGGACATCAGCCGAGGGCATGTGGACGTATCTTGAATACGGAGGGAGTGGAGGCATGGGCGAGAGATGTTGATAGGCGAGAGGCTGTTCATCGTCAATGAATAAATTTGCCCGCATTAGGAATGGGATATGTTGAAGGACAGAATAGTTTAACATGCGAAAGGAGATTTCAGCAAGGAATTAAGGGCTTAAGCTAAGTATACGCACTGTTTCCTGCTTAGGACGTACGGAAACTGCGCCCGGAGACCCTGATAAAGGGCGACAAAGATAAAAAATGGACCAATCGGAAATATCTCCGTTCATGCTCCGCTTACAAGTGAGACACATACTGATGGTGGTATGGAAGACATATCCGTCAGTCACGGCACACAATCTTATGAATATCAGCCGAGATGCAGGGGTGATAGACATTCCTATCAGGGCTCTTTATTCTGATATTGGCCGTATAAATGTCAGTTTATCGACTATCAGAAGCAGTTGAATAGAACATTAGGGCACAACTGTCGCTCAGTTGGACTGTTATGAACACCACAGGCAGGGAACGGATGAAGTTCAATATATCAAACTTCATCTGTCGACTGGGTATGAAACGTGTTATCAGGACAGACCGTGGGTTTCTATCAGTAAGTATTTGTGCGTGTCCAGACACCTGCGCTTCCCTTTGACTCCTGACCCCTGCCCTCCGACCTCCGATCGGCCGGGACTGACCTGCTGCAGGCTGGTGGCCTGATCGCGCGGGGTTGCCGCCTCAGCTCCGATGCCGCTATCCGGTGACGGCAGGTCGACGGCCAGACCCTGGCTGGACAGCTTGTAGACCGCCGACCCGGGGCGGATGTAGCGCTCGACGAACTGGGCGTGACTCTCCTGACCATCGGCGAAGGCGGGTGCGGCGCGGCTAGCCGGCGCGCTGCCTCCGTACTGATCGGTCGTACCCGCTGCGGAGCCCACAGGAGAGTAGTAGTCACGGTAGTAGGGGTCCGCCGCGGCCACGTACGACCCAGCCGACGTGCGGACCGTCGTCGCCTGTCCGTAGGTCGCCGTCGGAGACGGCGGCAGAGCGCTGTACTGGGAGATGGGCTCGGCGAATACCTGTGCGGGCGCCAGACCCGTGTACTGGGCCGTGTATGCGGTGGAAGAGGACATATCCTTGGGTGAGGGCGAGTCCGCGTGCAGCGGCGCCAGCGGCGCGCCGTAGCGCGGCGAGCCGGGGTCCCCGTCGCCGACGATGACGCCGCGGCGCTGTTCGACGACCTGCTGCTGCTGTGGCTGCTCGGAGGGCGAGCGGCGCGCGGTGAGGTCCTCGGCCTCTCGGTCTGCCAGCAGCAGACCCAGCTCACTGCCCGAGACCAGGTCAGCGGGCGCGCGACTCTGGGAGGTGACTGTGCTGACAGCTCCGGCCGGCGACGGCGCCGCGGCCGTGCTCCTGCAGGGGCGAGGGGAGAGAGAACGTTAGAACAGGTGGACGGAGAGACAATCAAAGAGTCAGAGTCAAAGAGGGGACGGAGGGCCAAGGGTCCTTCAAATACAGTACAGGGAACGAGCGCCAAGGGATTGTCAAAAAGAGTAAAAAAAAAAAGGTAAAAGGGCACGGACGGGATGGTCGTCAGAGTTATGGACAAGTGCGGAGCGACCGAAAGTTTCAAAAAGAACGAAGACAGACAGAATATAATAAGGAGACCGTCAAAGGGGGAATCGAGACTCAAGACAGTTTCAGAGGAAGGTGAATCAGCACCATGCGGTTAGAAACTAGGAATGGAAAGCATGATGTGGATTTACAAGAAGTATACAAGTGAGTGAAAGGTTAATGCGTTATATAACGGTGAGAAAAGATAAGTGGTGACATCAGCCTCTTGTATGAACATTTGTTAGAAAAGAGCTGCTACTCCATGGCCTGTTCATCCTATGTTCCCGTTTCATCATTTTAAAAATATTTACAGCCACTACTCCGTTTGCCGAAAGTATGCCCCGTGGTTTCTTTTCATGTCACGGATTAACGTCACGGAAATCCCAGAAAAGACGTGCTGGGACTCTTCCCACTGAACGGTTGTGCGAGTTATACGGATTAGAGCACTGAGCTGGTGACATTTGAGCGGGGTCGGTGACCTGACCTGCTGTCTAACCGTGCGCAAATGTTATCGCTCTCATTGCCCGCCTGCTTGCAGATAATGAGACCGCAATTCTGACCAAAATATCCAGCGGGAGGTCGCCCCGGCGCTTAGTCCCGCCCAATCCGTGGACGAGAGCTCGACTCCGAGCGAAATCACCTTATCAGCACTCAGCTCAACAATAGCCGTCTCTGGCTTTCGAAAAATGGCCGCTCGCTGTATCTGTCATCAAGAGTCGCGTTTTACAAGACATCCTGCATAGCTCTGCGGCGGAGCGAGATCGTCGCCATCTGAAAAAATTAACGACTGTCCGGCGATTCTGCGCCCGATTGGCGACGGTTTGCGACACAATGGCCGCCGTTAGTGCCCTCGGTGACCGGCGGTGACCTTCCGTGACCTTCAGGGCAGCGGTGGAGGCTCGGACTTGAGCCGCCGGCCGTCATTGCCGCCGAGCGACTCGAAATGACAGGTGCAGGCCGAATTTGGTCGGCTCTGCAGCCACCTCTCCGAGGGTTGATCTCTGATGTGCACTATTCCCCGGTGACAGAGCATGGCGCTCGTTAATCCGCGGCGGTCGTTAATCCGCTGAGGACGTCCCTGCCGCCATGACACCGTCGGTCTGTCCCGGAAAATCTCCCAGCCGGGGATAGAGACCGAGCGTAGCGGCACTGACGTGACCGCTGAGCCGACCCGGCTGACCCGGCGCGGATCATCGCCGACCAGACACCTGCTGTCTGAGGAAACGGGGCACCGAGCCCTCCCCTCCCCCTCCCCTCCCCTCCGACCCCCGGGGGACCGACCGACACCCGATCTCAGCGCCAGCACACGCGCGGAAGCAGAGACAAAATCTTACATCCTGTTGCCAAATGCTTCACGCACTTTTGTTAATCCGACGCGCAGAATCGAAAACTAGTTAGCGTGCTGACGTCATCTCATTTGCGCAAGTTCTCTGCACGTCGACGAGCAGAAATCCGCAAAGCGACGGCGCAACAGCGCTTAGCGCAAAACAAAATGGCGGCGGGTGCGAGGTAAAGTGATAGGTGCGTGAGGGGGCGACGAACGGACGGCGGAGCTCGCGGAGCGCCCGTGGCTGCCCCGTGACGGCTCCCGTTTCCTCCGGACGGAAACGTTACGCGTCACGCTCTTCCGTCACATCGTCACGTAACCAGGACGTTACGGTGTGGCTGCCACCGACGAACCCCGGTCTCGAGTTCACGCAACAGTCGTCTCCAGTTTCTACACATTCCGTGGGAATATCCTGTCCTCACGAGACTGAATTTGGCGGTGGCATTTCCGTGGTTACAGTGTGTGGATGTTTTTTTTATCACTTTTACAGCATATGTTTGGTCGTCTTTTACATTAAGTAACTACCAATCTAACCACTTTGATTGTTTAACCGGCAACCTTTCAATTTAGAGCGCGAAAGTCACCAAGACTCACCAAAACATACGATTTGTTTTATCATGGAGGAATGTAAAAGTAGAAAGTCTTCCGGATCAGCAGACTAACTTTTAGAACAGCTGATAAAAGGGAGCAAAAAAATTGCAGAACATGTTTACATGAGGCTTATTGGGCCCTTGACAAACAACTCAATCTTTTTTCGGAAATCAAAAGGAAAGGTATAACATAACAAAAAAAATCCTTTAATCATGATTATAACAAAAATCAGAGAACCTCTGGATCTTTTTTTTGTAAAAGTAAAACCAATCTTTTCATCTGCTCCTATTCCCAATAGATACATAGCAGATGCAGTGACAGGTCGCATGTACCAGGGTGATGCATTCTGGGATAAGTCTCTCGTTGTGACCAGAAATTGTATTAGAACATGTATTCTCATTGCGTGGTAGGACTGTCGAAGCATTTGTGTTAAAAAAGATGCAATTTATTTGAGACGAACGCTAATAGTTAAATACCGAAACCCAAATATTTTTTATTTTTGTTTAGCAAAAGTTTCTGGGGAAGTATTCCCTATCGCACATTATCCGACACTATTTTTCTAGATTCGCGTGTTGATCCACTTCCAGAAAAGGACAAATGACAGCAGGAACGCAATAGCTGCACCACAGACTACTGTGGTGCAGCTATCTTTGGCTGCACCGTGCACAACACATAATACTCAAGAACGTCTAGTCAAGATGCTTCACACGATTACCTAGGTGCTAGAGCAAAACAAGAGAAATAAATCACAATCGCTGTTGACCAAGGAACGGGCCATGAATACATGCAACAGAAACTGCAGCAGGGTCAAAAGGAACTTCTCCAGTTCATATCCTTGCAAGCCTGTGAGCCAAGCTTTTTCACAGCGCGATGGGATCGATGACCATTCACCCTTTCAGTATCACCAACAACATGGTGCATTGGAGTCGAGCTAACTCACGCAAGACAAGATGCCGTTTGCTAAATCCGCTTGTCAATTATATCATAAGCTTTTTCTCATTGAAATAATGACTCTAATGTGATGTGGTTTGTGACTGTAGGGCGCCCGAACTTCGGAGACCATCGGCACCCAGAAATGATGACTCTGAATACCTAGTTTTTATATTACATGATTTTTATTTACGTCCAATGACTCCATTTCATAGAGGATATATTTTGATATGCTTGGTTTCATGTAAGAGAGGCCGCTTACAAAATGGGCACTGGCGAAGCCACAAAAGCTCTCTTTTAGGAATGGACCTAAAGAACTGAAGTTCCAATGGGTTGATGGCTTGCTGGGTTTCACTGGACACCGCATTTGTTTTTTGTTGAGCAAATTGTAAAATGGCACTCCATGCTCCCCTGGTTCACCAGGTCTCTTAGTAAATTTCAAAGATAAGCAATCCACATCGATTGATTTGTTTGCGACGATAATTGCATCATAGCCTCTAATTTCTGAGTGTATAATTTAGAGCAAGCCATGACACAATTACACATTGGGTTTCCACAACGCCGGTTCACCTGCCGAGCGCCGGCTGCCCTCAACTCACTGCCATCGGATTTGCCCCGACTGCCCCCGGGGGCGTTCGGACGACGCCTACGCAGGCATCTGCTCGAGGAGCAGAACACTAGCAACTAGTCATCATGAGTGTCTCTCTGTATATGTGTTCCCCTTTCATCTTTTATTGTATTTTATCATCACCTGTTTTACTGACGACGGGCAGTAATAGCCACATGTTCCAGTGGAATGTCCTGAATAAACTGTCTATTGGTTAAAAACACGCACTTGGCATCATAGACGGATACAATACATGTAAGCAAGTGCAAATTCATTCAGTATTTTAAAACAAGGACTGCTTATCTATGAACAACACTCACACACCTCTGTGTTGTAACTACTCGATAACACAGCCAACTATTGAAACTAACACTTGTAGGCGCGCAGACTGTCAGAGTCGGCGTGGTCTCCCCAGTCGGCGGCTCGGGTGCCGGTGACGCCGGTTTTCGGCGGCGGAGCCAACTCACCCGAACGGCCAGGTGCGCAGGAAGGCGTCCATCGGGCACGCTGGCGGCCACCAAACTAGCCGGGCACGCGCGCGCCTGCTCCGCACCGACCGGCGGCCGCCGGACCGCCCACCGGACGGCAAAGTAGCAGTGCCCCCGCCAGCTGAGCCCCCCCCCCCCACCAGCGGAGAGAGACCCCCTGAGTCCATCCCCGACCCCGGCCAGCGGAACCGTCACCGACGGTCATTGACCTCGCGAGAGAGGCGACATGATGCATCACTGTCATCATGAGGGAAACAATGGGCAGCTTTGTGGAAAATCTGACTGCATTTAGGCAATAAATAGAAATTGATCCGGAAGAAAATGAATGTCAATGAAAAAGTATTTTCTGGAATCAAAACACACGTATTATTACAAGCAACCATATTTGGACATAGAGTTAGACATTGCACAGCTCGCAAGTCAAACTTTGCAATGTGAAATAACTTCGAAATCATCAAAAAAGCGTTAATCGTAAATCGCTAGTCGTTAAGTCGTTATTAAGTTAGATTTAGATGCATCTATTGCTCGGTGTTTCGCGGTATGAGCGTTCTCAAGGGCCGAGCGGCGAGCATTAAAAAATATTTGGCACAAGCTTGCACATTCGTCATGTAACCGGAAACGCATCATAACGTTTTCTCACAAATATCAGTATTTAAAAAAAACATGTTCTTTTCTTGACGGGGAATTGAGAAACTTCTCAAAGATATTGGAGCAAGGCTCTTCAGAATATGGAAAATGGTCGCCAAAGAAAGTGACTTTTCCAATTTTTCTCGTCGGATAACGCATCCCACGATGCCTAAAATACTTTTTTTTTGTGCAGTTGGGATGGATTTCAGGACCACTTAATGAGGGACAA